TTGAATAATACTTTCTCGCAATGGACTGTGAATGCATTGGATTCAATTCACTCCAGGCTCGCCTCAGAACTATATTTGCGTCGTGTAGTATTTCTCGCGTTTAGAGCGTGGTTGTGGAAGTATCGTCAAGAAACTCTCTTTCCTTCCACTCACAGGTATTTGAGGCCTCAAAGGAACAGATTCCTTTTGCGATACTCTGACATCGATTCTTTTCTTCATTAGAGCTGTTGAAAACGTCGATTTCTTTGCTAGCGGCATCCGGCAACCTGTGCATTCGAAGTTCGCCTCGCATTTCGTGGTCGAGGTGGTGCAAACTTGTTTGTTTTTGAACCTTAGCTTCATAGAAATTCACACTTTGTGTTTAGCCCTGCCCTGATCATGGCGCTCTGAATCCGCTGACGTGGTGTCTCACTCATTGTATCGTGCACGTGCCGTTGGTATTAGATGCATTTGACTTGGCATCACCCACTAGACGACCAATATCTCCATGTAATTCACCTCAGCGCGGATCACCTAAACGTGGCTCTCCACGACGCGGATCACCACAACGACAGCAGGAAGTGGCAATTCCTGAAGTGCAACGTGCATCAGAATGGGAAAGATATCTCGCCCTTCGTCAGGTGTATGAGCCTCTTGCATCTTCGTTTCAGCAACGTAGATTGTTGGTGAATGCCCTGAGTACATGGAGGGCTCGCAATGGTTTCCGTCGAAAGTCTCGGTATCTAGATGAGCTATTCAGGAAATCACGAGGGGTCATCCTACGTGAAAGGCAAGTAATACGGACATGGAAGAGTCGAGCAAAAGTTATAAGAGACCTTACCATTGACGCCGATATGAACTATGGATTTGCTTTGCAACGTCGTACTCTCATGTTGTGGATGAAGGCAAAAGGTCAATGTCAGAATAGAACAGAGACCGTCAATGTATATTTAGTGAGCCGTCTTATTCAGAGAAGTCTGAAGAGGTGGAAGGACAGGACACAGACTCGTATCAAGCTGGCAGTTATTGCAACCCGATATGGTGAAATTCGTCGTTTACGTCAAGTTTATCTGTCATGGAGAGATCAATGGGCGTCCAAAATACTACAACGCAAGTCTCGTCATACAGCTATTGCATTTGATGAGTCTCGACTTGAATTTGGGGCTTGGACTAGATGGAAATTCCGTCATCGAATGCAAATGCTTACGGCTGCTCTTGTCATGTATAAGCAACAACGAGTATTGCAAAGTGCATTCCGCTATTGGCGGTTCCTGAAGGAGGTGCGTCTTGAGAAGCATCTATGGGCAAGGTGGAATAGTCATAAACAGGCCAAAGTGAGGATTCGAGTATTAGGGTAGTCGATCACAATGTCTTGTCTCCAACTTTGTTTCGCTAGGTCTTTAAGAAATGGAAGGAGAATGCAACACTTTCTGCCGTGACTCGAAAAAGATTGTTCAATGGATGCTGGACTCTTTGGAAGCAGCGTCTTGGTGTCCAAAGAGGTATGAAGCTGTCTGAATACTTTTGAATCAATTGGGCATGTGATTGAAACACCCAACTCGATGATTCCTAGAGCTGAATGACGTGGCAAAAGGATTACGTGCATTCGTATTGTTACGCTGTGCTATAAACCTTTGGCGCGAACGCCATCAGAAAATGTTGCTACGGCTAAAGTCCTCTGATTCACGACCTAGTAGACGTCAAATAGCGCTCAAGATGCGTGAAAAGATCGAAATACGAGTCACGAAAAAGATGTTTGAAAGGTGGTTGCAAATGACCCGAGACAAGGCTTTTGAGGAAGAACGTCGAAGGGTAAGTTTTCAGTAGTTCTGGATGTCGATATTGTGGCTGATGCAAAAAGCTTAATGTTGATTGTATTAGATGTACGCTGAAACATGGAGATCTACGGTCTTGTTGAAGCGAACTCTACAAGCTTGGGTGTACGTGATTCATGGACATAAACGGTCTGATTTTAGTGAGATCGCATGGTGAAGAGCCTATTGTATCTTATATAATTATCTGCACTAGACCATAGTTTATTATGAAGGAAATTTATTGTGCAATGTTTTTGTGATGATCTTTTTTACAGGCCTGTGTTTTACAAATTATAACAAGGGGCATGTACAGTCATTCTTTATCTTGCAATGGCTATCTCGGCAACAACGACGTGGGACTTCAAATCAATCTAAATCTCATATTGGCTGTAAAGCCTATCTATGATGAATAGTGGTTGATGTTTTTAACATGTATATCCAATCGCCAATCCTTGCCTAACTTGATGAAGTCCTCTTGTATCCTTCTTTAGACGTATGGCGAGTTCGTCATCCCTTTCAGCAGTGTTTTCCAGCCCCACTGCGACAGCACCAGTGAATTCGAATCGTCGGTCGACGACTAGAATCGGCAAACAAGGTGTTGAGGACCCTCGAGCATCCAGAGCTACTAGCAGAGTATCACCACTACTGGCTACGACGTCTTCCTCTGGGATTGCAGAATATTGGACCAAGATGACCAAGTTTCCGTAGACTTACAATCACATCATACAATGAAGTATCTGTCAGACGTTCACCAGTCAAACTAAGCCATTTCAAGTTGGGAGCTGTGGATGTTATGAGAGTATAGTCAAACCTATTTACTGTTGTCTCGTGGTGGATGGCGAGTTCTTGGAGTTGAGTGCCATTTGTCTTCAAACATCTTTCGAGACCGGCCTCTCCTGCCTGGTTAACAGTAACGCGTATCTGTCAAAGCAAGAGTACTTTCGAGGGCTGGTTTTGTAAGACCAATGTAGTTATCTGGAGTATAACTACGAATCACATTATATTGAGCGACTTGAGAGTGGATCTATTGTCTATTATAGCATCTGTCAGAGCTTGGCATTGATCTCCAAGCCAGCTGTAGTGTCCTACTTCTAGAGATTCTATACAAGCGAGATTGTCAAGGATGACTGCGTTGGAGCTAAGGTGTAGTATGCTAATCGACTTCGAACATTTAAAAGCGGCCATGGCTTCCTTCTTGACTGATGCACTAAAGCCACGATGTAAATCAAGACGAGTCAAAGTGGAGCCACTTGCTCCACTGAGATCGCTCAATTCATTGTTTAGCAAGACTTCCTTCACTTTTATCGGCGTGTAGTATGTGAAGCTATTTAAGTGGACATTTGCGAGGATTGTGGAGGACAGATGTTGGCATCTGTCATCCCATATAGTGACGAAGCCTATATGTTGAATGTCAGGCGCAGCAGTAGGAATCATGTTCCAATTCATGACTGTGAAGTTGTGCGTCATATCATTAGCGTCTTCAAGATTACAGTTGCGTATAACTCGTGCAAAGTCTAGAGTCAAGCTCCTCACTGTCAAGTCGACCAGACTGACGAAGGGAGATGGTCCACAACGTTTCTCGAGTTGAGACGATGTTTATTACTAGTTTCGCGATATAGTAGAGGTTGTGCTGCGTCGATGATATGTTGGGATTGCGATGACAAGATTGACAAGATAGATGCAATGAGACCAGCATCCCACGGATTTATAAGAGTCGTCTGGGTGTGGATGACCAGCTGCGTGTACGGATTTATATAAGTGAGTGCAGGCTGCTTCATTCAACTCTTTTGCACACACGACTCAAGATAGCCAAAGACAAAAGACAGGAATTGTTGCACTGCGAGTTTTTCCAATACAAGCATCCATAGGTCCATTGGAAAGGACAGACTTTTAACATCAGTAGAAACACGCGGCGCCATGGCTGCTCTTACAGTTGATTTAGGTTGATCTTCTCCGCTCAGATGAGTAAGTTCCACTTCCCAAGTTTCAATAAAACCAAGCAATGACAACTCCAGACCCCTACGGCTTCTCGAAGCTAGTAGATCAGCTCAAGAATGTATCAGTTAGCATAAAAGACAATGTCACAAAGCTCTATACCATCTTGGACCGGGACGAAACGGTTCAAGATCAGATTGTCAGGGTATACGACGAATCCAAGAGAGAGTTTGGGTATAATGTGCTGCAACACACTGGGCTACTGGCGCTCATGAGTGCATCATTGTATTGGCTATTCAGTAAGTGGATTCAGTTTGTTTTCCTTGGCAAATCCACACAATGCGACATTTAGACATGTTATGGTTGCTAATTGATTCGTGTCTCCTTTTTATAGCGTACACCCGTCATGAAGAAATCCTAAAGCTCTCAAGAGAACGGAATGCCTTGCTATTGGACCAGAACAAGATTCTTATCGAGCAAAACGAGGTCTTGCGGCAACAACTGGTGGAACAAAAGAAACGTGTTAAATTAGCAGCACCTCATGAACCGTGAAGCTTTATAGTAAATGGAAGGAAAAAGGATGCCAGTGTGAATATTGCAACCATATAAACATATATCTATCTCAGTTGGATCTTTGGAGGCAGTTTGCCAGTTTTGAACCTTAACGTTTGCTTGAACATGCAGGTTCGCAATCGACTGTTTCTAGACTAGGAGAGTCATCTCCTCAAGTTAGTCAGAAAGTAGCTAGCAGAAATTAAGCCTCTCTTTGCCTGGCAGGAAGTGGAGAAACCGCTCTTAGTTGCCAACCATGTTGAGAAACACACCTAAATGGCATTCCAACCACAACGATTGCTTTCATGCTGCTTGTTTAATGAAAACTAGTGGCAGTCATTGGGAATTTACGGTCGGTGTTGCGGTGGGGGGTTTCGATTCTGGTTCAGTTAAACCTTGACACGTTCAAACAGGCAAAGTCTTTTGCAAAGACTATCGAAATCTGGACCAAGTGAATAAGTTAATACATTTATCCTCGACGAGTGTCCTTGGCCTTGAGCTTTCCATTGTTCTGCCACGTCACGGTCAAAGCGAATCGTAGCGCTAGATTCCTACGTGTTTGCATGCTTTGACGCGCGACTCGTCACGTCAAAGAGGACGTTTATTATCTTATTACATGAGCTCTTGTTCGTTCCAAGCTGCATCCGTTGTCAACTTCAATTTCAAACCCAGAACTAACGGCAGGTTAATTCACTACAGGACAAGTTCCAAGGCTCAACGATGCGATTTGTAGAATCATTCAGTGTGAGTCGAGCTCCCTTTCATAAAATTCATCAATTCCTTGCTTCGAAAAGTAATGTTGCCACCACTAAAGAGTGGAAATTCAAGTTTGATTAAAACACCCCTCATATCTAGTTTGACAAGCCGCGAGAGTCTGTCGAGATCCTATTGAAACGACTACGAAAGGGCAAAGCTATCGAGGAGGAAGTTGCTGATTACTTTCGTGAAAGGTGGCGAACATTCACTCGACTAAATTCCAAAGATTTTCGAGTAACTCACATACGTTCTCTGTCTGTTTAGAGCGCAAATTGAAGAAAGATATGCAAATGAATTGAAAATGCTGTCTAGAAAGCAGCCTGCTACAGACAAGGAACATTTTGGGTAACTTTAGCACACGCACACACAGTCATTTTCTTAATTGGCCCCCGCCAGTGTTTTTCACTTGATTTCTCGTCTAATACGTCAGTATTGATCTAGTACATTTGCTCCGGTGTGGGGACAGGTGCTTTTGGCCACTGCTGAAGTGGCTACTCTTCACTCGTCACTCGCACAATATCTATCAGACAAACTGGACAAGCCATTACGCACTCGAGCTGATATAGATCCTGACTGGGCAAAACTCAGGACGGTTAGTTCGTGTTTCCGTAATGTACAAAACATGAAGACTAAAGTACTGGATTATTAGTATGAAACTGATTTTGTCAAGAGGACGAGAGAGTACGAAGAAAAAGTTCTAAAGGCTGCCAAGGTACATATCTTAAAGAATTCTTGATGAGCAGCTACCGTGAATCTAACTTGGTCGTATTCTAGTTGGGTGGCAAGAAACAACCTAGTGGAACTGGGTTTATCGCGAATCGTGCTGAAAAACGTTTGAATGAAGCCACTGTTACTGCAGAACAAGCCAAAATACAGTGGAATAATGAGGCTGTCCAAATGTTTGAGGTGTGACTTCAATTCGCCCATTTGGTATTGCCGCATTTTTAACCACTCAAACAAATCTATTCTAGAGATTCCAACGTATGGAAGAGAATCGTCTGGGATTCCTAAAGGTCATATTGACAGACTATGCCACCTTTGATGCCCAAAATGCACAAGCTCGTTCGCTTGTGCCAGACAAGACTTTGGCCATGGCCGTTAGTTTTGACGTTGATCAAGAAATCGACCAATTCTGCATTAGCAAGAACAATATCAACAGGAATGGCTCATTGCCAAATATATCAGCAAATGGTGGTAATTCAAGATCTGGATCATTCTCGTATGTACATTGAAAGAGATCATAGGCTGGTGGTCATATGAGGCCTACTACTTAGCTCTTTTTTTTTGACATCGTTCTAGGAGGCAATCGGTTGTGAATGGATCAGCTCCTGCAATGACTATGCAAATGACTGGAAGCTCTGAGATGGCACCCGCTGTAAGTTTCGTGTTTTGCTTGTGGCATTTCTTGATGTCACCAACACCATTCTTAATAGGACTCGCCGACAGCTCAAGTGGATAGTGAAGGCTTTACGATACGACCTCAATCAACTGGGAACAATCCATGGGCTGACTCATCATCTCATAGTGCAGGTGATGAGGATGATACTGCCAGCATCAGGTACTGCATAGACCCAAAACTGATTTGTTAACATGTGAAATAAATGGCAGTGAGATGTAGCGTCGACACTCTGGACAAATACTGATCATTTTCTACTAGCTCTCAACCACGATTCAACTTTAATATCAAAAAGGAAGCTATTGTGGAAGAACCAGATGTAGCTTTCAATACTATGCGAGCTATGGCTGTCAATCTACGAAGCAATACCTTAGCGAATAGAGGGTAAGAAATACTTGTAGCGGGCAAATCCGACGTGTCAGTTTGCTTTACTGACTTTTTGCAACAGGACTACCAGAAGACCAGATGATCGACCAACATCTTTCATCGGATTTGCATCAGCTGAACCAACGCCATTGGACGAGTTATTTGGGTCTGCCATACAGGAACCAGAAGCCTCTCCACCAGTTCCGCCACTTAAAGTTACCATATCCGAAACGATAAACGCACTTCTGAGAAACGGTTCAGTAGATAGGCTACTTTTAGTAGGAGATATCACTATACAGTTACCACCCACCCTTCCGCCACCACGAGGCACCGTGCTGTTAAGGCTTCGTAACGCAACATCTTTAGAAAAGGCAGTACCCAATCCAACATATATCCGACCCATTGACAGCAGCCCCGGTGATTATGTGCTATCGCTGGATGCTCTGACAGCGGCTGGAGGGAAGGATGTACCCATTATAAAGTACCAAGTCAAAGCAAACGCATGGGGTGGTGATGGTCTGATACCTTTCATTGTAACTCCGTTCTGGAAGATTGAACCGGGCTCGACGAGTCTAGTACTAGCATACCATCATAGTAACAAGGGTGGTGCAGCTGGTATTACACTACGAGATGTACAAGTGGTGGTGAATGTTGAGGGTCCATCTACACTAGTATTTGGAGCCGTGTCGACAAAACCACCAGGTATTTTCAGCTCGGATAGAAAGGCACTGTTATGGAAGTTGGGAGATGTTGCTGCACCTCTTACAGAAGGAGAAGAACCGAGTAAACTAGTTGCCAAGTTTGATACTCCGGATGGTACGTCAACTGGTGGATCTATTGCAATTAAATTCACAGGATCTGGGAGCATCCTGTCGGATATTGGTCTTGAGTTTATACCAGAGCCTGGACAGACTGAATCACGAGCGACCTTGTCAGATGTGGAAAAGAAGATCACATCAGGCAAGTATGGAGCAACGTCATAGATAAAAAAGGAGAATTGTAGGATGAGAGATATATTGTATCGCTTATAGATGTTTTTATGCAATAATACGAGTCACTGCTACCCTTCCCTGTTCCTAGCTGATTTGTCTTCAATGAGCGATGTACGTTACGACACCGAGCAATAATGCGCACAGGCAGGAAGCTGCCGAGGAACACGGGCCAATCGAAACCGAATGCTCTGCTGCGGGTGATCGGTTGTGGGTGTCAGGGAATGCACAGAATGTAAAATTCCAACCTCCATGTGTTTGGCCTGTTCGAGCTTTCAACTAACTGTATCATGTCAACTTAGAAGAGGAATTCAGTTGCTGAAAGCATGAATGATGGACTGCCAGAAGGTCGGTGCCGGCATGCTGTGTTTCATGCATTGTCATCAACACACATTTACAATTTTTCGATTCGTGTCAACATCAATAACGCTTTTACCCAAATTCTAGATGATTTTAAACGAAAATTCGAAGCCTTGCAAGCTCAGGCGCATTTCTTTGAGTCTCGAAATTCTGAAATGTCTGGACAGCTGACTGAAATGAGAAAGCAGGTTAATAGGTTAAAGCTTGAACGCAAGTGAGTCGCACTTTTGCATCAAAGCACTGCTTCATATCGCTGAATGCCTCGTATTGAACAGGATATTGCTCTCAAACCTTGGACATTTGCTCGGCGAGAACTTTGACGAAGGTTCTTCATTGCCAGCGTCAAAAACGAACGGCACGCATCCACCATCACATTCAACTCCAGAGATCCAACAACATCATCAGGGATCTGTATCAGCTGCTACGCCAATATCAGCTACTACGAAATCACCACGGAAACGGGCAGCACCATCAACAACCTCATCACCAAACAAGGCTCGCAAAACGGCTCGACGAACCAAGAAAATCAAGGATCCAAACGAACCAAAGAGGCCGCGTAATGCATTCTTAGAGTTTTGTAGTAGTCAGAAGGGTAACTTTCATGACGAAAGCGGTAATGGACGAGTGAATTTTACAAAAGTTATGGGGTTACAGTGGAAGGCATTGTCGGAGGGTGAACGACAGCAGTATGTAGATATTGCAGAAGGTATGTTTGGTACACATATGCTATATGGATAGTATATGGTTATGATTTTTTTTCCGTCCCTTTTACCCAAAGTACCACGATGAAGCTCAACCACTCTTGCATTTCTGATTGTAGCTGATAAAGCAAGGTATAAAAGAGAAATGGCTGAATACAATGCAGCCAAGAATGGTGTTGCTATAGAGCACACATTGCCTCTTGCCCCTGATGCTGAAGAAAACAATGACGAAATAGATGACCAGGATGAGATCGAGGAGGATGAGCTCGATGAGGATGGGTAATTTATTGCTTTGCATATGGAATACATGGGTGGCGATGCAAAGGATGAGCTAAACGCCGTGCAGATTAATTGCGAAGACGATTCGGAGCAGTGCAATGGGATGTATATTTGTAAGTAAACTTAACCTCACTTGTATAATAGAATATTAGAGCATTGCCATAAGTAAAAGCCATTTGTTCCCAAGTATGACCGCACGTGTCTAGGACGTCGTTTTTAGCAAGTTGCCAACTGGCTTGACGCGATGATTCGCGATTCAGATTTCTAGACATATAAATCTGTTTAGTACACGCGTATCCTCTAAGTAGTGTTGGGTGTACTTAGTTGTCGCTTGATTTCAAACCTTCTTTCTGAACTTCTTTCAACGGCAGCAACAGAAGAAGAACTTTGTTACTTGCCAAAGTACTGATATCATATCCTAGAGTCAACGTAGCCACCACTATTGACTCCAACTGACTTTAAAAGGTAGCAGTTTCTTCATTTCCTTTAATCTCTGTTTCAATGGACAAACACACGACTTTGAAACAAAGGCTAACTCACTACTTTAGTTCATTTCATACTAGTGTAGATTGAATTATTACGAATCAAACAGCCATGATAGACAAGGATTCGTCTCAGGGAGCCGGTGGTTTCTTAGCATTAGACCCAGACAAGGAATTGGAATTTCGAAGACCATTTACTCAAGGTGTCGTCAAACAAACACTCAAAGTTGTCAATACTCTATCGCACTCGGGGGTCGCTTTCAAAGTCAAGACTACCGCTCCAAAGCAATATTGTAAGTTCCCCTCATCTCATACTTTGTCTTTGACACGAGTCTTTGGTTGTGGATGTGTGTTGGTTGAGGGCGTGTAGATAGATGGAATACTTCATCCCGGTATATGGAAGGGAATGAATCTGTGATCATTATATGTTGAATTTTGAAGGATTTCGGATGTTTGGAAGCTACTGGTAGTTGCCAAGTCAACACTTATCTTTTCATATCGAACGCTGGTCTACAGCTTACCCCAATTTACAAACCACTTACATTTCCCTCGTACCACCATACAGGTGTTCGTCCAAACTCTGGTCGCATACCGCCACAAGGATCAATAGAAGTCCAAGTATTGCTACAAACCATGAAGGAAGACCCTCCACTCGACATGAAATGCAAGGATAAATTCTTGGTCCAAGCCATCCGAGTCGCTGACGAAGTCATGCAGCTTGACGCAGATACATTCGCAACACGTCTATCAGAACTATGGTCGGCTGCTGAAGATGTAAAGAAGTCGGATCCAGAAGGTGGAAGTGATATCATGGCTGAAAAGAAACTACGATGCTCTTATCTTGCTGCTCTACCAACTACAGGAAGTGTTGCCAATACATCGCCATCACAACCAGCTGCCGTACCCGCTTCACCAACAACACCAGCTCATAGTAATAATAATAGTAGTCAACAAACAGCAGCAGCAGTAGCTCCTCCATCATACTCTCCTCCAACGTATGCAGCATCTACCGCCAACAGCTCACCAAAAGCCAATCCAACAGTCTCTAATCCTAATCCCAACAACAACAATAGCAATGCAGGAAATACCAATGCTACCGTTCCCAATATGACCAATAATGGATCTCAACCACCTATAGCTGCAATCACATCCGACGCTGACCGTGAACTCCGAGAAGCCAAAGATCAAATCAAACGACTTCAACAAGCTGTAGAAGGATATCGATCTGAAATTGAACGTTTGACTAGCTTGAGGCAACGACGTGGCGCTGGTGGAGATGGTGGATCATCTACAGGTGGTGGATCGACTGCTTTGGCGGTACAAGGTGGTGTGTCCTTCCAGATTGTAGCGTTGGTTGCTTTGATAGCCTTTATACTAGGTGTCTTGGTGTTTTAGAATGGAAAATCGAAATGTGCAAAGAGGATATGAGAGAGATGCTGAAAGAAGACACAATTTGTTGTATATGATTTTTTCCCAAACAAAAGTAAACCCGTAACTATGACTCATTGGTTCTGAGAGGTTGAGTTTTGCGTCGTATAATCATGTTATGACAAGAGTGGTGCAAGTGCTATGTACAAGCCAAAAAAGGGACCAAAGAGCATGTATCGTTTATAATTTACATCTTCTTAAACTCCCTCAAGATGGTACGAGATAGGTATAGTAGCTCACTTATATCCTCGTAAGCTTCAGGATTTGTCTTTTCCAACCTGTTGCCCAAATCTACGAATCGATGTGCTCGTGCTAGTGTCTGTTCCACCAAGGCACCATCCAGTCGAAGAGAAGTATATGTATGACTGATTCGTACCATAAAGCATAAAATCACATTCAAATGGGCACAAACAATCCAGTTCGGACCTAGGTTTGAAGTAGTAAGTGGGATGGCTTGTACCAAAAGCTATATGTTTCAGCACGTGCATACCTTGCAAAGACTTTCGACCACTTTCAATTCTAGTATCCAAACACTCATCGACTGAATACAAGAGTTTCGTCCATGCCGCCACCCCATAATCCGACATGGCATCCGGCCTTTGAATCAACATATTCAACACAATCTCAGACACGGACTGTACAAGACTCGGATCAGGAGAGCTCTCTGTACTATTTTTGTCACTGGCCAATATCCGTTGAAGGGCATTCAAGATGGCAGAATGTCCCTTGAAGGAGATAAGGTCATCTAGATAGTTACGATGAATGTCATCATCGTCCTCATTTTCATTATCGGTTGTATTGTTTGGAATTGGTTGCGTTTGTCGTTGCTCGTCTGGCGATGATGTGATGGATGTTAGGAAGGGAGCTAGGAATGTCATAGGATTTATGGGGAGAGATACCAGTTCGTCATTCCTATTTCAATAGTGACGATGAGCAATTGGTGGGAGAAAAGAAAAAACAGATTAGAAACAGTGTAACGTATTACGTGTGCATCTGAATCACGGTGAGTATTAGTGGAATGACACTGGTGATTTGAGAAGGTCTGGCTGTTGTTTCTTCAGTCAGCCATGACATGAGAGCACGCAATGTGAAGAGAGTGATATCATTGTCGATTACTACTTTGGCCTTGTGAGTCTGGTATGCATCCTAAAATCATGACAAAAAAAGGTGAGCTGTCGTGCGACTATGTTCGAAGATAGGAACAACACCAGTACCCAAACATCAGTCAAGAAACCACCCATAGCAAGACTTGCTTCGCTCATAGCCTTCCGTATTGATAACAGCAAATCAACTGGTAAAGTCAATGACACCCGATCGAGTTCAGAGACCAGATACAAGACTGTTGCCATAAACAGGTCGTAGCAGACTGGCAGTACACGACGACATTCCTCCCATGACGCATACTCTGAAACCGATGGTGATGTAGATGGCTCCGACATGGCTACTGGTGGTCCTAGTTGATTGGAAGATAGCGACAAGGCTGAAGTGAGATCAATAGTATCTAGCAAGACACGTATTTCTGCACATGCCAAGTGTACTACTAGTACACCAAAGTTTGACTTTTTGCTTTTACTGGGGGGAATGGATGATGCTAGAGGTGTAAAGAGCCAGTCGGGCGAGAATCGTCGAGTTAGAATCGATGCTAGAAGCAATGCTGAAGATTTGTGTGCTCGGGGAGCTAGGGAAAGTAGAGAAATTAGTTCACAGATTTTATGTTGTGAATATGGTATGATAAAGCCTACTTTTACTGCCGAGAATGTCTGAGAGCCCGTGCTTCAAATCATCAGACCATGTCGCCAACTCGGATTTCTTTGTAAAACACAGAGTCAGAGCCCAAACAATGCTGGATTCACGGATTTATTAACGATGTGCTTACATCTATGTCTGTAGCAGTCAGCATTTGACAAAAGAGCTTGAGCAATTGAAACTTGAGCAGTGTTTGATCTGTTTTGAATGTGGGAGCTAGTTCTGCCAGTACTACGTCAGACAGTGTTTGCGGTACTGCGATATCAGTTCCATATATCCGTTCAGTCACCATTGTCGCAAGATTTGACAATTCTATGTCTTGAAGTTGTACCTTTTTTTCTTAGCCTGGCTTGAGAGCTTATAAGCAACACTGTCCCTCAATCATACCTGAAGATTTGACGAGCCTGGCAATGGAAAGAAGGACGCGATCCCTTCGTAAAGCTTGGTTTCCAGAAGGATGAGCATTGATGCGTAGCAAACAGTTCAAGACGATGGTTTGGTTTTCAGCATTTTGACTAGCGTAGCAAAGAGAAGAGTTAGCCAATAGGGCTGACTGATTTGTACAGTTCCACATGTCAACCTGTCCAACGATTGAGCCAGAGACGGGACCAGCTTGACCAGAGGAGGCTTTTGACAAAGATCATCAACAAAACAAAAGCAGCTTGTGATCTGGATGGCGACAGACTGTAGCGATTCTGATGGTAGTTCAGACGATGGATTTGATTTCAGTAGCCTTGTTAGAAACTTGAATGGCATACGATCGTATACGAGCTTTATGGCATCTGAATCATCAAGGGTTAAAAGCTTGGGTATGATACATAAAGCTACGAATTTCTCTTCATCGGATGCGCCTGATAGCAGCTCTAGAGCGCGGTTAAGCTGCTGCTGCTTGTCTCCTGGTGAGCTCGCAACTGGCTCCATGTGCTAATTCTGGGTTTTTGAAATGTGATGTTAAGATAGAGTACGTCGAGCCTTGAACGGATCAGCTTGTAGAGAAGCCCATTTTTATTAAATGCGCGTGTTTACTAATATGATTTACCACATGTGCTGGTCCAAGATTGCAAAGTTGAAGCATTCTTCATAAAACAGCGAGGACGGATAGGAGAGACCTTGATCAGTGGATAGGAGCGAGGGAACCGATAGCCTGCATGGCCTCAAACAACTGCAAGGCAAGTCAACTACGCCATCATGTCTGTAATCTTGAGCTAAATCGACGCTATCAAATGTTGCTTCGCCTATTGACAGTGTGGAGTTCCCATGGCTTCTCGAAGGGTCTCTAAGGCCGGTGCATCCAATGGAAAGCTGTTTTACAATTGTCCTGTTGGTCAATGTGACTCCTTTGTTGTATGTCCTGTGCTCTCAAACATTGCGATCGTTTCTCAATGTCATTGACATATAGAGCTCACAGAACATCCCCTTTTTTCCTTAGTGGCAAGACGATCTCGCTCGTGGCGGCAATCCACAGCAGAATCGAGGCCCACCTTCGTACGGAAACTTGAACGCTGGTCCTCAAAGGCCCAACAGCAATGATTCTGGAAGTTTGACGTTTGGCCAACCCAATAATGACGCAAATCGCCCGTTATTGGCCGTATCCTTCTCCATTCACAACTCGGAATTCATCGCTGGCTGGGCGTCACCCAATCGCACTGATCTATTCAAGAAATTAGCTGGTGCAAAATGGGACGTCGCTGCCAATTGCCACTTGATCCCTGGCAAATCATATCAGCAGGCCATCGTCACTGCTAGAGACTTTGCTGCAAATCAAGGATTCAGTATCATCATCAAGGATATCCCAAAATTCGTATTGGACGCATACCATAGTATTGCACTGTCACCTCCTCCTCGTCAGGGGCAATCTGACTTTGAGATTGAAGGAGAGATGGAATTACGTCTACCTGATCGGCTCAGTGAGAGCTTCATGTCTTTTCAACGTGATGGAGTACGTGAAGCTGTAAAGAGAGGTGGACGTGTCTTGATTGGTGATGAAATGGTGCGTTCCAACATTGATTTTGACGAGTTCGTTTTTTTGCTCGGAGATGTGTTTTCTCTTGCATCGTCATTCAGATTCTTACACGTTTCTGCAAACGTCAGGGTCTTGGAAAGACAATTCAAGCATTGGCTCTCTGCTACTATTATAAGGATTCTTGGCCTGTTCTTATAATTTGTCCTTCATCTTTGCGTCTCACTTGGAAGGCTGAAATTAAAAACTGGCTGGGTGTCTCTGACCAACATATTCAAGTCATCTTTAATGGAAAGACAAAGATTGATCGCGATGCCAAGCTTATCATTAACAGGTATCAAATCGCATTTCTTTTATCAATCCAAGGCGGCTATTTTGTCGAATTACGTCACGACCTGTCTGAAACCCAATCTACTTATTCTAGTTACGATCTGATGACCAAAATGGAAGCAGAGGCTTCAGACTGGAGATTCAAAATCGTTGTTTGTGATGAATGTCATTACTTAAAGAATAAGGATGCCAAGAGAACCAAGGTCATTCAACCTCTGGTGCAACGTGCCCAGCATGCATTTCTGCTGTCTGGTACGCAAATGGCATTCGTGAATTGGAACATATCAAAATCGGCCGAATGCTAAATGAGCACCCCGTTTATAGGAACACCTGCTCTCTCTCGACCTATTGAACTATATACCCAGATCAGCATGTTGGTCAAAAACTATACGAATCACCATACCTTTGGTCTTCGATATGCCAACGCACACAAGGACCACTTTAATCGATTCGACTATAGTGGTTCATCAAATCTTACCGAACTACACTGGTTTCTTGAAAAGACAATCCTCATTCGTAGATTGAAAAAGGATGTCATGCAGCAACTGCCACAAAAGTCACGGTCTTACATCATGGTAGATATACCTGCCAAATACAAAAAGTCATTGGCCGAGATGATGAAAAAGGCAACAGATTTGGACGCGAAGCTCGACAAGGCAAAGAATATAGCTGGTGAAGCCAAGGAACGTGTGAGAAATGAAAAAAGGACCAATCTTACTGCCCTGGTACGGTGGCCACTCGTGGCAGATTAATTTTTTCTCTGCCTTCATAGTGAATTGAGTATTCTATTGTATGCTAATGCCGCTCCTCCTGTTTTAGTATGGGCAAACTGGTGAAGCCAAGTTACCAGCAGTATTGGAATACATGGAGGAACTCCTCACCACCACCTCACAAAAGTTTCTTATATTCGCACATCATCGAGCCGTATTGGATGGTATCGCTCAACGTATCGATGAGAAACTCAAAGTTCCATATATTCGTATTGATGGTACAACGGATCAGCAGTCACGTCAAGCCCTGTGTAATGACTTTCAAAACAAGCCAGAGGTTAGGATTGCTGTATTGAGTATTACAGCAGCTGGTGTAGGATTGACTCTTACCGCAGCAGATTCAGGTAATGTTATTGAATTCGTTTGTACTTAACTGTCTGTTATACTTAATTTCAGCAACTTGCATCGAGTATACCACCTAACCTGCCCCTAATTTTTGTCAACCATACGCTTCTCTAGTTATCTTTGCTGAACTGTATTGGAATCCCGCACAGCTGTTACAAGGAGAAGATCGAGCTCATCGTATTGGAAGGAATGGCGATGTCAGCATCAAGTACGTACTAGCTGATGGCACCTTGGGTAAGTCATTGTTGCTTCATCCAATTCTTATATTTTATATGAGAATCTCTCGCTCAACTTTCTCACAATTTTGTCGTTGCTAGATGATACACAATGGCCTATGCTTCAAAAGAAGTTGAACGTCATTGGAGCTGGTATCGATGGTGGTCAAGGCCAGAAGATGGAAGCTACAAATGAAGCGGAAGACTTTACTCCAGCTGGGCGAGAAGTCCAAAAGCAACGTGACTTGATGCAAAAGTATTTGACTCTTGGAACTGCTGCTAATGATGATGGAGAAGGCTTGGATATGTTCTTTGCGAGACAACTGGAGAATAGTGATGATTTCATACAAGATTCTCAAATCGCACCAGCTCCAGTCGCTCGCGCTGCTGCATCCATATCGTTTGCACCACTGACTCCAGCAGTGAGCACTTCATCAAATGCCGTGGAAACTCTTGTAGCTGCTACACCGCCTGCAGCTTCACCATTGAAACGTAAATTGGATTTATATGAGATCTCGGATGATGATGATTTTGCTACCGTCAAGCAAACGCCTCTTAAGCAACCAAAGATGGATAAAGTAGTAGGAAATGGAGTAGGTGAACAGAAAGTACAGTTTCAGCAACAACCTCAGCAAGTACAGCTTCAACAAAATCAACCTCAACAACAGCTTCAGCAAGGACCCCAACAGCAACAAATTATAATGCAGTCTAATCGACACCAGCAGCAACCAACTATATTGCATCCTCCAAAACCAGTCCAGCTCCCATGCGGAACAACTCAACCAATGACATCGTTAGATGACGATGATCCAATGTGGGATCTACCGTCTGTCTTTGACGAGGTCGTAGCTGCACGCAAACGACGTGAAGCTGAAAGTCAACATCTTGTCGACATCAAACAAGACTTGATGGAATTGGACCAAGATGGGGTTGACCGAGGAGAGAGTATACCCAATACGATAGCAGATTCGCCATACATCGCTCCTGGTATAGTAATTCCGACGACGAAGGCGATGATGAGCAGTCAATCCGACTTTGAAATTGGAGAAGATCCTGATTTCGATAATGTTGATTTGGATGCTGTTATGGCTCAGGCTGGTATTGTGACTCAGAATGGTGGTGGTGGTGGTGGTGGTGGTGGTGGTGGTGGTGGTGGTGGCGTAAGCAGTGCGGGGGGAATGAACACCACTTATGGAACCTCGATCAGGCCAGCAATTGAAGCTCCTGCTATGACTACAAGCAGCAACAATAATAGCAACAACAACAGCAGCAACGACTTCCACACGTATAATGGTATTCGAATGGCAACGTCATCAAATAACGCCAATCCATCGGTACATGTTCCTTCACTTTTGGCAGTTTATGTTGCTCCTCCACCACCACAACAGAATAATAATGTTGCTCCACGATCACAGTATATCGCTCCTCCACCACCGGTTCAAGCTCCTGTGGTAGAAAACAATTATGAGTTCCAGGATGAGGACGACCTCACTGAAGCTTTGGCAATGATTGAACAAATGGAAAGGGATGAACGTGAGTGAAAAGGTTTTGCATCAATTGATTAGCAAACATGATCAACTTACCAACTCTTTTCGTACTTGTCCACCTAGAAATGGCTCGAGAGTTACAAGCGAATTTCAGATGATCAGTTTAAGATCAAATTGTAGAAAGTTGTACATCACGACCAGTATAGGCTTTCGCACAAAGTAGCATATCAATTGTATCTATGTATATATACAGAACATGTAGAAAGTCCTTTTTCTGCATTACGTATCGTCTTCAATTGATAAACCTAGCCCGGATCTAGGCGATGCAGTGGTTGATTCGGCAACCGTGGTAGTTTGTCCCTTCATCAATCCTTCTACAAGCAGCCTTAGTGAATCAACCTGAGCCTGGACATTCTCTGTTAATTTTTCCTTTTCTGTAGTAGCAGCCTTCCAAACCCGAAGCGTTTCAACTTCTTCGTATAACCGTCGTAATATCTTGTCTGATGCGACTCGTTCACGCATAGCATCTTCTAGTTTCTGTTGCGTTATTTGTACTTGCAGCGTCAATTGAGTATTCAATTGAGATTGTCGAGCTGCTAGGCGTTTCAGGATGGTGATTTGGAGACTTGAGTATCTTTTACGTGTTTTATATCCAAGCCTACGATGACAAAAAAAGATATCGAAATGGATACGAAAAATTGTGCAGTCTTTCGCAATCAAAAGTCTTCTTACCATGTCTTCTGGATTCGAATAGCAGCATTCCGATACCGTTTGTACTCGGTCACCCTCCTCAACACCATTATCATCCTCCACCACGACTGTATCATGACGACAGTTTCAGAGACATTTGATTCAACCATGCCACCCCTACTAGTACCACCAATATGTAAACAATCAAGTATTAGTGCCTTCCTATCATAGTATATAGCTCTAAAAGGCTGTTGTGGTGGCTTTCTATGCCACGAAAACACCTTAAGAGCACGTAGCCGTTTACGTACTAGGTATCCACGTACACAAGCTTGTATTTTCGTAGTAGGCCTTTGCAGTGGTGCTGTTTGCTGAGTTATTATAGCTTTGAATGTGGCTCTCATTTCTCGTAGTTGCTTGTTTAGACGGTCTACCTTTTCAGTCAAGAGAGTCATTTCTAGTGATTGAGTGGGAGGTGCTGATAAGGCGGGTATGGCTGTTGTTGGGGATGATGGATTAGGTATTGATGGAGATGGTACAGATGGTTTACTAATTGGAGGTCTATTTATGTTTGGGATGTTTTTTTTATGTAACGATGGCAAGGATTTTGTCATTCCACCTGTTCGTAACGGTGCATTTAACGATATTTCATTGATTGGCTGAATAGGTGCACGTGTATTTGGTATTGTCGCGGGGGTTGGTACTGCTACTGGTACTGGTGATGTTATACTTGTTGCTGTCGGTTCTGCTGTTACACTTGTTCCTGCGGGTGCTGTTAAACTTGTTACAGAGGATTGTTTTGACCTAGGTTGAGAATCTCCTAGCTCCTCAAGTCTCATTGGCATAGTTTGATCTTGGCGCTTCTCAGAATATATCGAGCCTAAAAACGAAGACCAATGATGCTGAGTTCGAATGAAGGAAAAAAACACTGGACGACAAGCGTCATACCATCAAAGGTCAATTCATCTAATACGTTATCCAGTAACAGTCCATCATGGTCAATTATTGAAGCGCGGCCTACAACACTCTCGTCCATCGACGTATTCATTGTCGTATTATATGATTCAGTAGCCATGCGTCGAATGGTTTCAGGTTGGGCGTATTGCCAGCTCGACACAGAAGAGGCTGTTGCTGGACGACTCGACATATCAGCAGATGGGATATCATATATATACGATTTCGTCGATGTTGCCAATGGCGGTTTGAATGACGGCAGCGACGTTCCAGCACTCCAAGCATGTGTAGGCTGCTGAGGTGGTAGCCTCTCGATTCTGATTGCACTTCGTCCAGGATGTGGTAGTGAGGACGCAAATGGCACTGCTGCTGTTCTACGGCTCTGCATGACCTCCAAGAGTGATCAACATTCAAGTGTTTAACGGTTTTGGCCCTGTTTCTTTGACGACACGAAAACAATAGAAAATAAGGCAGTTCGCGTTTTCACGCGTCCAGAACCCAGGCAAGTCGTTGTTCGAGGTTGATTGTCCCCTCCTCCTGTCGTTGATTGCAAAAAACTCAAAAACAAAGAATGTCTGTTTGGAAATGATTGGTCTAGCAAGTTCAACTGTTGGAGACTTCCAACTCTAGTTCAGTTTCAGTAAATATCCATTTCAATCCCTAATTTTTCCTTCTCCCTTCTTACATCTTCACTTTTTGGCTGCCTTCAACAGCAACGATGGAATTGAGCGAAGGATTTCATAAGAGGCATGGGGCCAAACCTGGTGCAAATTCCAGTTCCCGTACTATTCCATTCGCATCTCCATTGGACGAATTATTTGGCCCTGCTACCACTTCACAGTCCGCAACATTAAATTTGCAGCATCTGACGCCAATACCCCCACAAGGGCCACCATCAAATGCACCAAAAAGGCCAATGTCTGCTGCGCCGGTATCTCGTGCCGTCGGCGTCGCAGGAGACGCTTCATCGCTGTTTGGTAGTAGCACTAGTAACACCAACAGTTTTGAAAGTTGGGCCTTTATGAGTGGTTCTCCTCCAAAACCAGCTGCTACCATACCAAATCCATTAAATAGACCTTCGTCTGTACCGCCAGCATCGACTCAGTATCAGACGTGGTCGCAACAACCCGCAGCAACGACTCAAAATAATAGTATATTAAATCAAACAAATAACTCGCTACCATATCAAACAGGCAGCCAAAGTAATCAAGCTTACGATTACGGAATTAATGACTCTAGTGCTGCAGTCGCTGATGCTTTTGGATTGAATACTACAAGAAATGATGTTTGGTTACAAAAGACATTTGATGCTCCTCACGCTTCTCAACAATATACTGCTACAGATACGTCTGCCTTGTATGGCAGCAGTCAGCCACAATATGATATAACTAGCACAAATAATGTTGTCAGTCAGCAAGCAGTTGACACGTCCTATCAAGGTCAACAGCAATCGACGTATGATGCTTCACAGTCGATATATGGGTCTCAGTATGGCAACACTGGCCAGTACGATACTAGCCACTATGATACTACCCAGTATGATAATAGCACGTATGACAATAGTCAGGTCCAAACGAATCATCAATATGATTCCTCGAATGCACAATATCCAGCTGAGGTACAATCAAATGCTTATGGACTCTACGAATCAGCCACTCAGCATCCATCGCAACATTATGAGCACTATGCTCCTCCAACTGAACAGACGTATGTTAAATGTCAAGTTGGTTGCAACATGTGCTCAAAACGCTATGCTCACGCTTTCGTTTTGGTAGGCGATATCATTCCGTATCTCCCACTGCGCTTCCAAGCCAGCCTCCGCAACCTACCGAGCAAATGACTGAAAATCCAGTAGATTCATACAATCTGTATGCAAGCCAGTTAGGTCCACCTCATTCTGGATATGACTATGGTGATTCTGCATCAAACCAGTATGAGGAGAATATCATAGATCAGACTTTATATCAGCCGTCCACATATAATCCGTCCCAATCTTATGCTTCACATTCTGATCAGCCTGTCATAGAGCAACAAGAGTTGCCAGCCCTGGTACAAGAGGAATCAATAGAAGCTGATGAGGATTTCGTTCTTCCTCCACCTCCAACAATGAATGAAATAGATGCTCGAATGAGCTCTGTATCCCCCGCAAAGGCGAATGAATCTGGATCGTTGTCGGCCGTCAAACCTTCAACTATGGGGTCTGTCAGCCCATCTGCTGAATTTGAAGAAATTGATCCCAACGGTCTAGGACGAAGAACATACAGTTATGTGTCTTCTGAAGATATTCGTAGTGTTTCTCCTACTCGTGCTGGAAATCCCGCTGAAGTGTTGAGCGAGTTGGATGATCTTATATTTGGTAGCAAATCTACTGATTATGGAATGACTTCTTCTATACAGACTCAACCAAAGTCGTCGTCGCCGTCTCAATTCTTTGATAAACTGGAAGCCACAGCAAAGGCAATTGACGACCAATTGGCCTCGTTTGAATCCGATAATATTGTAGCACCAATTAGCCATGAGAAAGCGACATATGAAGAAACTCAACATAGTAATAGGACGAGCCCAGAAAATTTGACGTGGCAAAATCAGGGTGGTAGTGGCTGGGATGATTTTGACATAGATGATGTTGCTAGTAGTCCTGAAATGGCTGCCTCGATTAGACAAGATGAAAGGCACACTCCAAGTGTAGGAGGAGGAGCAGTTTCAGTAGGAGGAGGATCTTTAGCAGGAGGGTCTGTAGCAGGAATGTCTATAGCAGGAGGATCTGAGAGAGCTACTTCGCCTGAACGTCTGGTATCCAGTCATAGTCTGTATAATAACATGTCTGTCGACACAAATTATTCCCAGACAACTCCTGAGAGAATGCATCATGATGTAGATGAAGTTGGGGCTGTGAATCACGAAGTTGATCCATCTAGTCCACAGCAGCCTCATGACGATCCCTTTACTCACCAGCAGCATCCTATTGATGCATTTTTTGGTCAACAGCCACCTATGGATGATCCATTTGGTGAACAGGAACAGCGAGCTGATCAATTATTTGGTCAACAGCCACCACCAGATGACGATCCATTTAGTCAACAGCAACAGTATACAGATGAATTTGGTCTACAGCAAGCTAACGCTGATCCATATGGTCAACAGGAAATATATGATCAGCAACAGCATCATGGTGAAGATTCTCAGCAGATGTATTACAATCAACCACAAACATATGAAGGACAGCATGGTGACAATCAGAACTTTTATGAAAAGCCCGCTGTCGAACAGCCAGTCCAGTATATACAAAACCAGCAATATGATACTCAGACTTATCCAGTAGAGCCGTATGGTGACGGCCAAGTTTCATCGCAGCCTCGGTCTGGTTACAGCGAGTCGCCTTATAGTGGTCAGGACTATCAACAGCAGCAAAATTATGAATCGCAAGGATATGAACCTGTCACTCAGCAAGCAGTATATAGTACTCAGCCATCCACGCTTGAAAATGTAACGTACCAGAGCCAGCAATTTGACTCTCAGCAACCTCCTGGTACTTATGACTCCCAACCACAATATGATAGCCACGAGAGTCCACAGTTTGACAGTCAACAATCTGTTTCGGGCTACGACTCGCAAACACAATATCAATATGCAGAGTCTATTTCCACTACCGATACAAGGGTTGAGACTTCTCAGTATGGTGACGGGACGACTGTAGCATTCTCTACCTCTTCCATTCATGTTCAGGCCGGTAGATCCGAGTCTAGTCCTGCAACTATGGCGGGATCTCCTCAAATAAGTAATCTGCAATATTCTCATAGTATAAATCAGATGGCCACTGGTGCATCGTGGCATCATCTGACAGATCTGGCTCCTGTAGAGTCGCCAGCTGCTTCTGTCCCTCAATCACCGGCAGTCGTGGCGGTCATAAATAAGTGTAGTCAGTGTGGTAGAGTAAATGACACCGAAGCGAACTTTTGTGCTAAATGTGGGTCAAGACTTCATGTCCGGCCAGAAGATACTTTACCATCGATAGCATCGTCGTCTATGCAACCAACACCACCACCAACGATACCAAATGCACCATATGCAGGACGAGCCTCAATACCGCGTCCTAATTTATATAGCCAGCCTGGTGATTTAAGTCGCCCTCCTGTAGTACCATTAGCTACTCCACGAAACTTGACGTTTGGGAGAGCAACTACACCAACGAACATACCGCATACTGAGAACGTGACAGAAATACCAGGTCGAGTCTCGCCTGCTGGTAGTGTGAATCGTTATGGTAGAACACCTACGCCTCCAATACAGATGCAACAAGCAGTAGGAGAATTTATAGATCCTCTTGGTCGTCATCGCGGTCATTGTGTTGCAGTGTTTGGATTTGGACGTCTTTTGGTGTCATCTGTTAGAAGGCATCAGAGGATTGTTGCTACACAAACTGGGGCTCAAATGGCTGTTGAGAAGGCATATCCAGGTCCAGTAAAAATCGTACCTACCCATACGCTTATCACTGCTCCAGAGGTACTTCTCGTGCCAAGCAAAACAGATTCGCTCTTTCCGTTGATGAGTAATCGATCAAACAAGAAGAAGAAGGAAGTGATCAAGTTGTGCGATGAGTTGATCGCTGAAGCTGAAGCAAAGGAACAGGATCTGTCGAGAGTTTTGAATGGTAGTATCGATTATCATAGTCGACTTGAGGTTGAAGAAGCTGCTGATGAGGTGGTGCTCTGGAGGTTGCTCAAACATCTTGTTGACAATAACGGTGTTTTGATACCTAGGTGTGTTGAAGTATTATTGTGATAATACGTATTACGTGATCTAAGTTTTGTTGTTTCTTACGTGACTTTCTCGTCTAGCAATGATAAACCAGAACAATCTCAAGCCGTGATATCCCTACTATCTCGTCAACCAAAGCTACCTCCATCCGCTTCTGCGTCGATTGATGAGATTTACTCATTATTGCTCGAAGGCGACCGTGTAGCTGCTTCAAAAGTAGCCATCAGCAATTCCTTATGGGGTCATGCCCTTGTCATTGCTAGTCACATCAGAAAAGAGTACTATCGTGATGTGGTTATGGAATTCGCTAGGCACGAGTTTGGAGTGCCGTGTCAAGGACCAAGTTTGGTTCCTAAAAGAAATGTGGCAGGTCCTGGCAGCCTTGGTGGACGTGGTGACGATAGGCCGGCTTTGAGAGTATTGTATTCTATCTTTGCTGGTGCTGGAAAACAAGCTGGTATGTATTTTGGCCGTGGGCTTCTTGTATCCACAAAAAAAGAATCTTACTAATAATCAATTTCAAAAGTCGCTGAATTCTTACCAGCTTTCGGAGAACTTGATCCTTCTTCTCATGTTGGAGCTCAAGAGTCTCTGACACGCTGGCAGGACACGCTCACTATCATTCTTGCTAATCGGACTCCTGGCGATTCAGCAGTACTCGCTACGTTAGGAGAACGATTGTTGGAATATAGTCGTTCGAATGCTGCTCATATATGGTGAGTCTGTTGGATCAAGCTTTCGTGTCCTTTCGTATCCCTCATTGACAACTCCCCTTCATTTTTTTGAGCTTCTTGATATCTGGTCTTGCCACTATTTTTGGTGGTGCAGATGTATCAACCACTCGCGGTGTCTTACTGGGCGTGAATCACTTTATGCACCCACGAACAAGCATATCTGATCATAAGGCTATTCGTATGATGGAATTGTACGAATATGGCCTTTCTTTTGGCAACGCAGCTGTCAGCACTCCTTTACCTCACTTCCAGTCCTACAAGTTGGCTTATGCTGCCTACTTGGCAGAACTAGGTCGATTCGACGAAGCTCGTAAATATGTAGATAGTGTAAAAGCTTTGGTCGAGTCATACGCGAAAGGAAGCCCATACTTTGATCGTGTCTTGTTTGGTATAGTAGGAGAACTAGGTATTCGTATCGAGTCTGGATTATCCAAGGCTGCCAGCGCCAACAGTGCAAGTGATGCTACAAGTTGGTTGAGCCGTGTGTCATCTTGGAACTCCATCATGACGGTCATGGATCGAGGTCTCAACAAGTTTATGAATGGTGCTGTTGGTGTAGAAGGAGGAGAACACCCATCAACAAGTAGTACTCCAATTGGCGGGTCGAGCAATCCATTGACTACATCTATTGGTCCATCGGCTCCCTTGGGACGATCTAGCTCTCCCACAAAAAGTAACCCCCTTCAATATTCTGGATTCTTTGGTTCGTCTGCTACACCTCCACCACCCACACGACCATTATCGACGCCTCCATCCGCTCGCCTTTTAGCAGGAACGCAAAGTGGTATCTCGTCGCCTTCTCCCGCAGGCAACTTTGATGGAAAGGGTGTGTCGCTGGATTCGTATAGTAATAATGGCTCGCATGGGAACTTGCATAGAGATTATCTGCCATCTACACCTTCAACGACTCAACTACCTTATGTATGGCCCCAACAACAAGCACAGGATACCGCTCCTATAGAATCATTTGTATCGAATCCAGTGGCAGCAGGAGTCATTCCCACTGATACGAACTCGTACGGTACTAATGGAACGTACGATTCGTATGCATCACAAACAGTTGAATACACTCATCAGCAATCAGTATATAATGAGCAACAACAAACTCGGTACCCAATGCAGTCATGGCAAGATCCAAATGAAATGACTGTGCCTTCCGATCTAGGAGCATTGGTAGAAAATCAGCAGACTTTGCAGCAGTCTGATCCCAGTCAGAAGCAGCAAAACTGGCAAGATCCTAGTCAGGCGTCTTATCCGACAGCTATTGGATTTGAGAGCGGATTTGAGGCTCAAACAACGTATCAAGATAATAATAGTCAACTAATGTATCAGGATAATAGTCAGACCCCGTATCAGGATAAAATTCAGCAAACGTATCAAGAGAATAGTCAACAGTCCTATCAGGATGATACTCAACATTGGCAACAGCAGCCTGACGATTCACTGCAATCATCAGCTCAACAACAACAGCATTCTGAAGGCACCCAACAATGGCAACAACCTGATCAAACTCTTGCTCCACAGCAATCATGGCAAGAGGAGCCTCCAGTTGTGGAAAATAATACACCTCAGCCTCCTCCTCCTGCCACGAATAGACCAGTCCATACTAATACAATAGAGGAAGAAGACTTTGGATTCGGTAACTCGTCGTTGAAGAAGAGCAAACCTGATCAACCTAGTAGACCACCATCTGCGGCTGGCGTTAGACCAGCGACTCCGGGTGCTGAGTGGCCTGCTGGTGATAAAGTTGAAGAAAAGAAGACTGATGAATGTAAGAATTGGTTTGTGAGTGATAGTTGATCATTTGATAGATGCTAACGTCTGGGGTTTCTTTAGCCAACAAGAATGAAATCACTAAATCAAGTTATATAAGTATTGTATCTGGTTTCTTATTTGGTGGTAGGACTGGAAGTGCTCCTGCTGCATCAGGAAAACCGGCAGCTGGTCCAGTACGAGCCAACTTGGGTGAAGAGAATTCGTTTGTTTATGATCCAGTCCAGAAACGATGGGTCAATAAGAAAGGTGGAGCAACTGCAGATGCCTCTTCAGCAGCTCCAGGATTAGGAGCACCGCCAATGAGAAGACCATCATCTACTCCTCCTGGAGCTGCTCTACCTTCAATCGCAAGGGCTGATTCCTCGGCTTCCACGGATCCACCGAGTAAGTTTCTTTTCGCTTTGTATAAAAACTCTTATAGTAAGTCACTAACGTGTATTTTCAATAGATGCACCGCCGCCCACTGCTCGATCTACGCCATTATCGAGTGCTCCATCATCTAGGCCGGCTTCGCCAGCTGTGGCAGGAATGCAGAATGGATCTCCTAGTAGTGCACAATCTGGTCCATTCTCTGCTGCATTGGGTAGAAGCCGATCTAGTATGGGACGACGTGGAAGGCAAGTGCACTACGATGTACAAGGAACAGCAACCGAACAGGAACGGTCTTCTTCGTCAGAACCTCGTGGTTTTACTAGCTCTGATATAAAACGAGCTGGGTTTATACCTCCAATGCCTACTGCAGCTGGAAGCAATGCTGGTGTGATGATTATGCAGCCACCACCTCAACCAGTAGTGTCGCAACAAGAGGATGCTTGGGGCAGCAATAATAATACTAGTCAGCCGGAGGTTATGGACCGGATATCCCCTAATGCCGTGTCTCCAATTGCTTCTAGCAGTGCAGTACCACCAACAGTGATGAAGATGCCGACTGCTAGTAAGCCAATTGTGAATATGCCTAGTAATGTTATAACACAACGTCCTGCCATACCACTACCATCATTCAAACCACCATCAGCAACTCTGCTCCCTCAACCGAACGTGTATAGTACCACAACAGCACAGATGCCACAAAAACCACCCACACCATTACCATCTTCATATAGTAGCATTCCACCACCACAACCTACTTATAATGATTATAGCAGTGATGGAGATATTGATGAAACCCAAGGCATGCCACCAGAAGATTTTTGAACATAGTCCATCCTCTCGTATCATAAGCAAAGTTGACTAAAAAGAAAGATTTTTGCACACATCTTCTGACACAAATTTGAGGTGAAACTAAATCATGGTTTATTTAGCGCATTAAAGGCAAATCCTGCATGACTATTATTGTTTCGTCCCAAGCAGCAGTCGCCATTTGACCCTGTTGAGAAGAAGCCGTTTAGCGATTCAGAGGTCACGCATATAAAAACCTTCTGTCCCTTGGCTTACCGGAACATAGAGCGACCAATCAATACCAAGAACAAACTCTGAATGTTGGTCCATCACATATACCAAGTTATTGTCTGGTTTCAGCGTATCCCAAATCCTGACCGTCATATCATAACTAGCCGAAGCAACCAACGACGCATCATGTGGCGAGCACTTTAACCTCCTCACAGCATACTCATGACCATGCAACCTCAACAACTCTTGATTCGGGAAGCGCAAATCCCATACTTTGATTGAATGATCTACAGATCCCGTCACTATAATCCCTTCACGATACTTGTTCCAATCTAGAGCGAGCACCTCATTCTGATGTGCGCGTATCGTTTGCGTGGATCTCGGTCTTCGTGCGTCCCATATTTTTACAGTTTGGTCTCCTGAGCAGGAGGCAAAGACGTCTGCATTTGTTGGTGACCAGACCGTGTTGTATATGCAGTGTGTGTGTTCTTGGAAGGTTGTTAGTGATGATGGCATTTCAGGGTTCCACTGTTTTTATATCGAGAGATAAGAGTAAGCGTCTTGTTTTAGGTTCTGCTTATTCCAAGTCTTTACCAGTTTGATGGTATGATCCCACGATCCGGAAACAAAGACGTCTTTTCGTACTAGATTCCATTTCACACAAAACACTTCTCTGCCATGCTCCATCCAACTTCTGACAGGGTAGTCCTATACAGAATTCGACGTTTGGTGTGAGTCAAATACCGGAATGTTTTGTGCACAGAAAAACACTCAACTGGTAATGTACAGTCCCAAAGCTTTATGCTTCCGTCTCCACTACTCGTTACGATTTGATTCTCGTTGAGTTCACTCCATGCACAATCAAACAGTCCATCTTGTGTGTCGTACCTAACAAGTTTTAGCAAAGTCAGCAATTAGCTGCAAGAAGAGACTCAAAGCACATTTATGGCGTTTGATACAGTCCAGCATGAATGAATTCATGGCAAACTCTTCTTCCTTGATTGCTCTGAACGCATTCCGTGATCAAATATGACGTCGTTCGAGCCTGCAAGATGTTGGGCCAAAAGTAGGGACTCACGCTCTTTCTACCATGAGACCTTGTGGACCCATGCCGAGTACGAACAGTTTCCCATTGCCAACGATGCCGAAATTGGCTGCACTAGCACATGCCAGCTTGTTTTCAAAAAATGGGCTGAACTCAATCTAGGAAACAAGTTGCGAATCAGTCTGGTGTAAGCTAAACGGAGGATACTAGTCGTGTTCTTACAGCATAACCATTGTATCCTGGTGTCTTGAATCGGGAAAAGTTACCTCCAATGGGGGGTCTACGTTGCATTGCTGGATTTCTATGTGTTTTGTGAGAGCAGGAAGAAGATCGCTTTCTTTTTGCGAACGCTGGCGGTTGATTTTACAGATGCTGAAGATGTATTTACACTGTACATACATATAAAGATTAATATTACTTATGTAGAGCTGGTGTTTTGTTATGTTGCGGTGAGCTTTACAGACTTGTTCCAAGCAACAGACACGGACATTCAGTTCCATTACATAGCTCACCGCAGTCAGGACATATATAACCCACTTCCTGACCCATTTCTGGACCGTGCATCTGCACAGTGATGCTTGGCCTTCGTGACGTTGAATCATCTGATGCAAGTCTATCAACCAGCGGCTGAAGCATCTCTCTCAAGAAAGCATTCCCATCCCGATTAGCGCGAGAAACACGTGGACTTGCTAGCATACCAGCTAGTCCTGATGGTTGGGTTTGTGAAGCGGGTAAGCCTATGCTTCCGACAAGACTTGGTTTCCGTGGGACTACTAGACCAGACGTTGTGCTGGCTCGTCGTGAGGGGCCTATAATATCTCGGCGCGCATCGACACTGAGGTGTGACTTGTGGGTGACGGAGGATCTGATTGACGGTGCAGCGGATTTGACAAGATCGATTCTGCTTGGTGGGAGGTTCGGTGAAGAGACTGCTTCATCGTTCTTTTCGAGAAGCAGATCCGGGGCTGGTCTAGCGGATGATGACTCGGGTCTTGTTATCAGCACGGCAGGTTCGCCTTGAAGAGTCAACGGAGTTCTAGGAGACGAAGTGACAATGTAGGTAGTCATAGTACCCTTTCCTTTGAGGTAGACGTTTTCTCGTGATTCAAAGTGGTATCCATCTGGTAATGAGTCTCGTACAGCTTTGGTAACTTGTATCGAACCTTCGATACCCGTACTCTCCATCCTGTAAAAAAAGGAATGGTTTAGTGACCTGACGGGAGAAACAGGAACGATTTAACTTTGCATACCTAGAGGCAACGTTGACTGTATCGCCCCAGACATCGAACGTGAAATTTCGTTTTCCAATAACACCAGACACGGCCGGTCCAACTATGAGATGCAGGCGTTAATGTTTACGAACACAACCACCAAGTAAAGCTGCGAGATTCTTACCATGTATGCCAATCTTGAGGCTAAAGTTGTGATGATAACGAGCATTGAATTCTCGAATGACTTCTTGTAACTCTAGTGCGAATTCAACCAGCCTTGTGACATGATTGACCTCAAAATCTGGATTTGGCTCAGCCATAGCCATATACTTCATAGCTATCGTCTTGATCTTTTCGACTCCATAAGATTCGCAGGTGTTATCAAAATCACACAAAATGTCATTCAGCAGTCTGACTGTTTCCATTGGCGTACGGTCGACTGTTTCAAAGTTTGAAATGGAGGCAAACAAAATTGCGACACTTTTTTGATCATCAGCGATTGGTGATTGCCCATCTTTTAATCTTTGAGCAACGCTGAGTGGCAGAATGTTGAGCAACAGTCGCTCTGCTCCCGCTTGAGCGACCTTCATATCCGAATATCCTTGTTCGTGGTGTCGTTTCATAAAGTAGTTGAGGCGGGAGTATCGGTCGGTTCGACGATTCGTAGTCCAGGTCAAAAGTCCAGTAACGATGTAGAATATTATCGGTTTGTAGATAATACCACGTCCGGTAGTTGTGTACTGCGTCCATCCCAAAATCAAAGCCGTTATAGAAAATATCAAGGCCAAGAGCGCCATATCTTCGTTCATCAAATGCATTCGAAGTCCAATAAACAGACAGTACAGAGACATGATGATATATGCTGAAGCGTGAAAGTAAGACGAAGTGTTTGGGAGAGGTGTGCTAATGAGTTGCGATGCAGTAGCTAAAAAGCAGGCCAGTATAACAATCCTCGCAAATCCGTTTGGTCGCAACCATGCATGCATTTCAGCTGATGGCATTGGTTGTGGTGCAAGGTGTTCTGCTGAATCCATCCATAACGCTGTCGAGGTTTGTTCTCCTTTATCGACAACAGTCACTACTCGTAACCGTAGCTCATAATTGAGTTTGTGAACTCCATAGATAAACGCAATTAAGAAAGCTCCCAAAACACCTTCAATGATGAAGGAAGCTATTGATTGGTTGGGCTGGTAAAACACTAGGAGGTGGACTATCAGCAATAGCAGATAGACACAGAGAATAACGATGGCTGTTACTGATAGGGTTCCAGCGTGTGTACGCATATAATCCATTCTGAAGGCCTCTTCGGTTTCCTTATCTTGAAACGTGACGGTAAACGGATTGACCTCCATATCAAAGCGTCGCCTTTGAGTTTCATTTTGTGGTGTTTTCTTGATGTGTTTTATAGACGTCAAGAACTTGAAAGGGGATAGGCAAGACGATGGTTGCTGCTTTTGCTCAAACGACTCTCCCTTTTCTTGGACAGACATGAGACTTTGGCCGATTCCAAGAAGGTTCATACTAGCAGAATTCGCCATTTTAGCTTTCTCGGTTTGTAGTTCTTCCTTCTCCTTCTGATTTCTCATAGAAACGAGACATTCTCGGACGTTCCGAATTTCAGGTTGGTTGGCGTCATTCGTCAGTTCGAACGACGGGATCATGTCACCAAATCCTAAAATAGCTTTGGCCGGCTCACATTTCAATATGGGATCGTTGGCAAGTAGCTCGTTCGTTTTGTGACTTATGTGAGGTATGCCAGGTCGGGCAGTCTGTTCCATAAGCGATGCGACATCGACGTCTTGAGACCAAATGTCGTATTTGAATTTCCAAAGGCCCGTGACTCCACTGATGACGGATCCAGTATGCACGCCAACCCTGAGTTTCAGAGATATTTCATGTCGACGAGATATTGATTCAATCGTCTGAATCATCAAAAACCCCATAATGCACACTCGCCGAGCAGCGTCTCTAATGTGCTCTGGTGTTGTGAGTTGATCTGGGACACCGCCTGCGATCTGCACACAATCGCCGATCGTCTTTATCTTTTCCAAACCAAGATCTGTCGCTATTTGATCGAATTCACTAAAGATTTCTTCAAGAATGTTCACCAATTGCACTGCTGTTACAGTCGAGGAGAAGGACGTGAATCTAAGAAAGAGGTTTCAGATTTTGTCATTTAAACACGCTGGCAAGGCTACCTTACCCCACAATATCACCAAACAGAATAGTCACATTGTGAACCTCTGTAAAAGTCCCATCTACCATCATCTTTATATCATCCACATCAAGAGCAGTTGGCAATTGTCGTAAGGTGTCAATGACTTTCTGTGGCAAAGATATTTTCAATAGAGCTTCCCCTTGTTTTCGAGCCTGCACTAGTTTCGTTCGGTTTTGATATATAGTTCTAGTCTTGACGAATGTCCTTCTCATTGATATCTCGCATTGGTATCGGAAATACAGACCAACAAAGTTGGCGGTTGCGTAGAGAAGGGCATTGGCGGCCACCATAGACGGAGTCAGCTGGAGAGATGGCATCGAAGACTCGATTATGATTTGGATTAGCATGAGCGAGAATGAGAGGCATGCTGTATGTACAAAATAGGTAGGGAAGGTGTAGTAGAAAAAGAGAGTGACGAGGATTAAGGGGACTGAAACCTGTCCACTCCATATTCCCTACAAAGAACAAAAGGTCAAAGACTAGTCAAGCACATGCGCACCCCAAAACATAACTACCGATGCGAATCCATTCGGCAAATTCAGAAGCTCCGCCACAGAAATGTTGATGGCTTCAATTCCAAGAGCGCATCCCCACAGCAGCGTGATTTTAGAGTACCACATTTGAAACTTTTGTAAATTGCATAGCCATATAATCACAAAGTTGGCCAGCCATATGAAGATTATACCGAGCTGTTGAGCATTTAAACCACCGATTATTCCATCGCTAATCGCTTTAGCAATAAGAAACACAGTCCAGCCAAATTGGAGCAAGTACAGCATTTTTCTAAATCCAGTACGGTTCAGATGCAGGTGGAAGATATAGAATTCATAGATTGCTTCAATAGCAGGCTCAAAATTCAGAAATGGGCCTGTTTCGGGACTCTCGTCAATCGGATTTAAAAATGATTCCAGGAAGGTAGGCGGCGGTTTCAGAATCTTCAAGTTGGGATCGTTTTCACGGTCGATTGTGGGTTCTACTCGTAGTCTGTGTCAGCAAGCTGGTGTTAGTAAACAGGGGCGATGCATACCTTTCGGAGAGCGTATGGGCGGCGACGCAGGTCGTAAACTTGAATCAATAGACTTGAGCCGTTGAATCGGACTGGGAGCACCAATTGTAACTGAAAATGTGGGAGAGTCTGAATATTCAGTCTTTGCAATTTGGCGTCTGTCGGTTTGGGCCCGAGCTTCGGCCATTTTTTGGCACGAATATATGAAATTGTGCCTCTTCGTTGCTCCTCTTCCCAGAAGAATGTGCAGCTTGTCGACGTTGTGAATTTGTGTGATTGGAGCAGCAGCAGTCTTTGATCAGCGTGAGATCGGAACGTGCAGGGGCCAGTATGTATCAGAGCCTAACTTTATAAATAAATTCACGTGAATATGGAGCGATTGTCGGTGGTGGTGCTCGTGTGCGGGTTGTGTGAAGAATTTTGGATGAAACCGGACGCAAATAGATAGTGCCAGAGAAATGGCACTGCTATTTATGAAACATCGACTTCCTGTGGCCATATCACGTAGATATGCTTCCTCCTCAAAGGTCCTTACTCTTGGGATCAGGCGTGAAGACAAAAACAGATGGGAGAGAAGGGTTGGTTTACTGTAAGAGTTGGTTTACTGGCCTAACAGTTTTTCTGTCTTCCTGCCCCTTTCTGTCACCTGTTTCCTCCCAAATGTCGATGTTGTTAGACATTTGGCGTTCGGAATTGACCACGCTTTCAAACATTTAAATTAGGCCAGACCACGTTGAGAGAATTATTAAAGAACTAGGAGCTACGGTATTAGTGCAGCCATCCACGCGCAGAGTCATTCCAGATGAAAAGTACCAACAGGTTCGACACACCTTGTGATTTGATATATAACGTGAACTGACATTGATCCAACCCCAATTCAGGCTGGCGCAATCATTACGAATGATTTATCAAAAGCCGATATCATTCTTGCTGTCAAGGAGGTGCCAATTGACCTTCTTATGGACAACAAGACATACATGTTTTTCTCGCACACTCACAAAGCTCAAAAGTACAATATGCCAATGTTGAAAAAGATACTGGTAACGAACTTGATTTCGCTCAAATATACTAGATCTAACTCGTTTCTTATTCTAGGAAAAAGTACGTAACACCTCACAACAAACCGGCCATTCGTAGAACTCGAATATGGAACTGATCTGTTGCCTTTTCAGCAAATTCGTTTAATTGATTATGAACTCATGACCGACGAGAACAAGAAACGTCTAGTACAATTCTCCAAGTTTGCTGGCTATGCAGGTGACATGCCACTGTACTATATCACACCTCGACAATCTGATGCCAACAATTTCGTGTCCTTTTCATAGGAATGATTGATGGTCTTCACGGTCTAGCGCATAGATTACTGTGTTTAGGCTACGGGACTCCTTTTCTCAGCATGGGAATGTCTTATATGTATCGCAACTTATCCGATGCCAGGCTGGACGTGACTCGCTCCGGAATGGTCATAGCTGATGATGGTTTGCAACCTGAAATGGGTCCTATGACATTTGTATTCACTGGAGATGGACAAGTCGCTAGGGTACTGCTTGACTTTGAGACTTGGTCGCTTCTTAAGCCTAGTCGTTGGCTAACACCACAGTATACCAGGGCGCTCTTCATGTTTTCAAGTGCTTGCCGCATGAATGGGTCTCTCCGAATGACTTGAAAAGTTTATGGGAAACTAAAGGTGCGGACTGCACGCGATAATTTCTCGAGCATATCTTATTCCTTTTCAACCCATCTCATCGGTTTCCTTGTTTGTTAGGCTTCAACAATCACAAAGTGTATGCATGCCAGCTTAAAGTGTCGGACTGGGTTGTTCGAAAAGATGGTGGAAAGTTTGAGAGATCACGATATAATGAGCATCCAGACGAGTTCATGAGCGTTTTTCACGAGAAGATTGCTCCATATACACGAATGCTCATCAACGGAATCTATTGGGATCCACGATTTCCAAGACTGTTGACGAATGAACAAGCACGAGATCTGGCTCTGGAGGGCCGATTACCATTATTGACCATTGCAGATATTTCCTGTGACATTAATGGTTCGATTGAATTTATGTCGCATGCCACCTCAACAGACAATCCCTTCTTCTTATACGACCCTGTCAAGCAGATAGAGCATCAAAAGTATGCCTCCAATTTGTATCCTCGACTGTTTTTGGTTGTTCTTCACAGTTATTTTTTGTGATCTAGTGCTGAAGCTCCTGGTGTTCAAATTATGAGTGTTGATATTCTTCCAACGGAAATGCCACTAGAATCCAGTGAGCACTTTAGCAACTCATTATTCCCATATGTCAAGGAGCTTGTCCGAGGCAATTTTGATCATCCTGTTTTGAAGAGAGCCACGATTACTACTGCTGAAGGCCTGGTTCCACGTCATGCTAAGCTTGCAGAGAGTATTGCAAGATACGGAACCCCTGTATATGGTGAAGGTGCCAAAGTCATGAATTCCAGAAAAGTCTTGCTTTTGGGATCTGGTGAGATGGATTTGGTGTAACGTTACGGTTTTTTGCTTATTCGCTATTCATCTGCAAGGCTTCGTATCTGCACCACTCGTTGATTACTTGTTGAGAGAATCAAGGACGGCCATCACTATTGCGAGCAACTCGAAGCCTGAAGCAGACAGATTAGCTGCTGGAAGACAAGGAACAAAGGTTGCTCCATTAGATGTGCACAACAAAGAAGCTCTTGGTACTCTAGTATCAGAGCATGATGTTGTTGTCAGGTGTGTAGCATTTATCATATTTACTGTCGACGCGACAATCGAATATTTACTAATTAATTTCGTTGTCTTCGCTCTTGGCTAGTTTTGTTCCTGCTCCTTTACATCCACTCGTTGCGTTACCATGCATCCAACATGGCAAACATTTAGTGACAGCCAGTTACATTTCACCAGCCATGGCTGAACTCGATGCTAAAGCTAAAGCAGCTAATGTCACATTGCTGAACGAAATGGGGTTGGATCCTGGTATTGATCATATGACTGCCGTCCGTATTTTCGACGACGTACGATCTAAAGGTGGTCGAATCACATCGTTTGTATCATGGTGTGGTGGTCTTCCTGCTCCAGAAGCATCGGATAATCCACTTGGTTATAAATTCAGTTGGTCTCCACGTGGTGTTTTGACTGCTGGAATGAATGAAGCCAAGTTCAAGAGGAATGGACAGGTACGCTCTAAGTTTTGAAATTGAGTAGCAAAGCGTTCACTCCAAAAAGCGAGAGAGAAAGGTTGAAATTTATTGAAATTTCACTCACATAGATTCTTCACGTGCCTGGAATGGAATTGCTCAAGACTGCCATCCCTGTATCCATATTTCCCGGATTTGCAATGGAAGGCTTCCCGAATCGAGACTCGTTAAAGTATTTGGATTTGTATGGTCTTGGACCATTGGAGAATCTGGACAATCTGTTTCGTGGCACCTTGAGATATCAGGTTGGTATTATCATCACACTTTTCCGCAGTTGTGGTTTTTGTTTTTCGCTGGACACCTTGCCTGTATAGGGCTACTCTGAGTTGATGTCCGCATTTATTGGACTGGGATTGTTGGATGATCGTGTTGGGGGTATTCCGCCAGACATGTCTTGGGTGAGTATAGATTTGGACGTGTTGTTTTTGGGGTGCTATTATGATAGCATTGCGTTTACAATGATTTCTTTAGGCTGAACTAATGACCAATCTTGTACGAAAGGGAGGTAAGGTACCAGACATGCGATTGGCTATTGCATCCAAACTCGGAATTGGTCTATCAGACTCCAAGGGTAATGCTCTAGTGGATCGTGTGTTATCTGCACTCAAGTGGTGAGCCTTAACAAAACAAGATGCCATTCGTAGCAGCCAATGTTTAAAGCCTCTCTTCATTTCATAGGATGGACGTCCTGTCTCCCGCCCATCCAGTACCTCCAGCATCTAGTGTTTTAGATGCATTCTGTGCTCTTTTGCAAAAGAGATTAATTTATGGACCTGGAGAAAGGGATATGGTTGTGATGCATCATGAAGTTGGTGTTGAATTGGCCAATGGAGTCAAGGAACGACGAACATCTACACTTGTTTCGTATGGTGATCCAACAGGGTACACGGCGATGGCTCGTACAGTTGGTCTACCTGCAGCAATTGGCGTAGAACTGATTCTGAATGGTGAGTCTTTTATCATTTTTGGGAAAAACACGTGCTGATGCTTTCTCGAATGTAGGCTCGATTTCTCGTCGAGGTGTAATCGCACCCATGACGCCGGACGTTTATGAACCCTGCCTTCATAGTCTTGAAAAAGAGAGTGTTCGTTTCACTGAGTCGACTGTGTCTGTGTAATTAGAGCGTGTAAAAAACAAATACAAGTCTTGTAAAGGGCCGATGTACGGTGCACTAGAAGAGAATATTAGCAGTATTAGTAACATTGCCCACGATAGCGATATATCATTGCCCAGGACCCGAAAGTCTTCTCAGAAACCGCCTGGATTAAAGCCACTGAATTCATCTAGCGCGTTGCTAGATTCAACCGTGACGACATCGCCCATGGACAATGGCGTCCATCTTAACGACATCTTATCGCCGATAAGAGCTACCCCATCATTACTGAAACGAACTGGGTTAGTACGCCATAGATCAGTTTGTTATCGTCATCAACCACGACTTTTCGAAAACACAGGTTGTTGGCAGCCAACTGATTGTCTCTGGTTGAATCATTTAGATCTGACCCTCATATATCAGTCTCGGCGCGACGATGGTCAAAAGCCAACCGGCAGGAGAGCAGGAGCTCGTCCAACGAAGACATGTTTGGATTGTTGAGATCACTATCAATTACGAGTGATGATTCGTTATGGAGCTTGGGGAATCGGGTTGGAAGTAATGGCCGATCATCACTTACAAATCCTGCTACCAGTGACTTGAGACCGGGATATGATTCGAGTTTCTTTTCGGCTTGGTGAGGAATCTGGATGGTCAACCAACGTGTTTTCTGGAGTTAATTGTTTTCGTTTTTGGGTAGCGTCAATCTATTGAATACCATTACTGGAACTGGAATGATTGCCATGCCATACGCTTATTCGAAGCTTGGGATTGGACTTGCCACGACGTTGTTGGTTTCATTCGCTTGCCTGGTGAGCGCCATGTATTAGTGCTAGTAACTCATTTCAGTTTCAACTTGATTAGCGTGTTGTCACACGATGGTCAAAGCTATGAACTTGACTAACTTTGTCTCTATCTGCCCAAAGACCTGGTACAGTTTGCGTCTCCTAGTAGCATCCTCAACGTACCTCCACAAGAGCTCTGCTGACGCTAGCTACCTCTCATTGGCTCGTGCCACGATACCTGGACGTTTTGTTGTACTGGTGGACGTTGCGATGCTGATGTTGTGTCTGGGAATGGCCTGTAGTTATCTCGTCGTGATAGGAGACACAGTTCCACCTTTATTGGGCATGTCTGCGACTGCAGCTCCGGGCTGGGAGCTAGGTACGTCTTGGAAATTGTCATTTGCGTTTCACTCCAACGGCAGTCTGCATCAACTTTTATGTTACAGCGTTTCTTGTGGTTTTGATCCCGATATCTCTATTCGATTCGCTCGAAGTGCTGACAGTCATATCAGCCTTGGCATTGATATTGGTAGCGTACTTGGCGTTGGTTGTGGTTGGATTTGCATTTACAGGGTAAAAAACCATCGCGGAATTAAATTTTACAGTACTCACATATTTGACACATTCATATGTCTCTAGAGTCGATGCCGTACCAGATCCACATGTTGGCTGGTTTGTGGCATCACCAGAGTTCTTTGTCGTGTTGAACATTTTCTCATTTGCGTTCACGTGTCATCAGAATGTATGTGAAGTTGGTGTTATTTTGGTACTTCTTCAATGACTCAACGCTTTCATACTTCCAAGATGTTTGCGGTTTGCTCAGAATGTGGGCCTCAAACATTATCTCAAATCGATCAAGTCATTAATATTGCGTTGGGTTCTACTGCTATTGTGTACTTGATTGTCGGAATATCGGGCTATTTAACTCTGGGAGATGCCGTTACCAGCAATCTGCTTCTTATTTGTAAGCCTTATTTGTAAGACTTACTGAGAATCGCTCTCCAAATTGAATCTTCATATCCGTCCTTTAGATCCTGAAGGCTACCTCATAGAAGGAGCTCGGATTGCCTATATTGCATTGGGGGTATTTAGTTTTCCTTTTCAGGCAAGTGGTGGTCGTGTCATTTGTTAGTGTTCCAACATTGACCATTTGGATGTAGCTTCAACCGGCACGATCGTCTCTGGACTCACTAGTATCATCATTCTACTCCTTGCGTAAACCGTCTTATGCACCATTATCAGCAAGAGAAGATGCCGGCCCAAATCCAGATCGTATTATTGACACTACAACGAATTGGAAAAGGAATATGTGCTTGACACTGGCTGCACTCGGCATTGTGTATATCGGAGCCCTGACAGTGTCGCGGTTAGATGAAGTGTTGATACTAGTTGGGACAATTGGCGGAATCCCAATTTGTTATATACTGCCCGGCTATTTTTACTATACACTAGCTCCAAAGGATAAGAGCGCTACCTACGGAGGCTATCCTCATTTCTTTGCTCTAGCAATGATGACATTAGGGGGAATCATAATGCTCTCAACGACATTATACATAATCAATGAATTGTTTTCTAAAATATAGAAAGGTACAAGAGTACCAAGTTGCATCCTATAATCCAGACTTGTGTTCGACTTGTGTTCTATCCTTCCCTTCTGTGTGGAGAGTTGGGCCCTTTCGGCCATCGTGTTGCATTCAAGTTTTAACAAAGTACGCAAACACAATTTGGTAAGACAACTAATGACAATTGGACTTTATACCGACAGTGTTTTCTCGTCATATCTTCCGTAATCCGTGGATGCTCTGGCCTCGTTCCCGGCATCGTGAACGTCTCGGCTATGCTACATTATTTTCACATTTTATTGGGTTGACCATACAGAGCCTTACAGCTGTCGCAAGTTTTCGGGAATGAATATTGGTTGAGACCTCATCGTTTGATTTAGGTTAGTCTTCGTCCTTTTCGTTTGGTAAATGTGTCCAACGTCGTTTTGAGCTACTTGGTCTAAAATGAATTCACAGCTTTGTTTTCTAAAACATAGGTATTACAAAAATATAAAAGAGGTGTCACTAAAATCCAGACTCGATGTTGTTTGTGATTTCGCTATTGAGATCAATATGTTTGATCAAGCAAGTAGCGAAGAATCCAACAGCACAGACTGCAGCCGCTAGGAAGAACACTGGTCGAATGGCTTGTGATAAAGCGTCTGTCACGACTTGGACATATACAGGTGGAAGCTGCTTGATGAGATAGATGTTAAAATCACTCTGGCTTGACAATACACTGAGAGCCTATATTATTGGAAAGCGACAACTTGTCAGCGAATGCTTTTTAAAAGTTACTTGGCCAGCACACATACCGGTAAACCTGCAGCCTGACGCAGAGACTCGTATTGAGAGAACCAAACTTGATTGAGTAGAGAACCAAAGACCGCAACCCCGAAAACTGAATATGAAAACAGTGAGCAGAGACTTCATGAGTGAGACAATCTGGCACATTCCGTGTTTACCTCCACCAATGGTCCTCATAAAGTTGATTGCAGAGGTTCCACTCGCATGTTCGAATGGCTTGAGGGCAACTTGTCCAGTAAGAACGAGGCCTGAAGTCAAGATATGCATTTTGTTAGTAACTCAGACTAGCATACCATCTATTTCAGAAACTTCATGCCTTGCATTAAGAAACCAGCTCCCAGTCCAAAGATCAGCTGGGCGATAGATTCAAACCAGATCGAATTGTTGTATGTCAGCAAGGACAAGAGCCCACTTCCAACACACATCAGACCCGTTCCCACAACCACCGCCCAGACGTAACGGCCATTGATTGCAGCGATCGCTCCTCCAAGTGTAGCTGTGATGATGAAGCCCAACGAGATGGGGAGGCCTTGGACTCCAGAAATGGAAGCTGATGACTTGTTGACGAGTTGGAAGAACACTGGTAGCTCATACACAGCACCACTAGCGACATTTGACATTTAAGATTGGATTAGTGAAAAGCTCCTGAGAACGTTTCTTCGCGATTTCAAAGTCTTCCTTGCGAGACCAACACTTACAAGAAGACAAACCCGAAGCAGAATGTCGCCACCAAACTGGCATTGAAGTTGCGTTCGTTAAAGAGTCGGATTGGCAGAATGGGCTCTGCTACTCTGCTCTCAACAAACACAAATATGCCAATAAAGACAAATCCAACGACAAACAGCGAGATGATGATAGGTGAGTTCCAAGGGTACGTGCTTTCACCGCCCCACAAAATTGCAAGAAGGATGAGGACGCAGAAGATTGCGAGAGTAATTGAGCTAAGCGAAAGCGTAATTGAATCAGTTTTCATGATTAACAGGTTGGAGGAAAACACGTCACTTACCCAAGAATGTCAATACGTCGGAGCTTGGTAGCCAGGTTTTCTTGCTTGACTGGGATTCGTACAAGAAGCGCAACGATGCCAGCAGCAACGATGCCTGGAGGCAAGCTAGGGTGGATTTTATGTTAAAACAGTCGACAAGGCGCAATGCAACATTGCGTACTTGATATAGAATATCCATCTCCAAGACGCAGAAGAGTCGGCGATCACTATAGACGAACCGTTCAAGATAGATTATATGTGATTATCGTTGAAGACTAGCTTACCTCCTCCCAACACAGGACCTACAATGAAGTACAAAAGTGAGCTTCATCGTTCAGTTTGTATCATGAACGATCTCCTTACCAGCAAGCAAAGCAAGTGCCAAACAGCCAGAAACGATTCCTTGGTAGCGTCCTCTGTCTCTCAGTGCCACAATGTCTCCAACTATGATGAAGACGAGGGACAGAAGTCCTCCTCCTCCAAGACCTTGGACTCCACGGGAGATAATAAGCATGTTCATAGTATTGGAGGCACCACTAAATGGAAGAGTTGAAATTTGGTTAGAGTTGACACAGTGTGCGACACATTATTGAGCACAGCACGGTTGAAAGCTTTGGCTAAAGCTTACCAAAGCACAGATCCAACAAGAAACATTATGATACTGAACAACATCGAGGACCTTCGCCCAAAAATGTCAGAAAACTATGTGAAAGACCAAATACGTGATTAGTCCAAAACTGTGGGTTTAAAGCTTTAGTATACAACTTACTTTTCCGACGAGTGGCAGAATGATAGTGCTGGTGAGCAAATATGAGGTAGAGACCCATGGTATTTGGTTGAGACCACCCAGGTCCGAGGTCATTGCAATTGCTGCAGTGTTGACACTAAGCCATCCAAAGTGGTTGGAATCAACCACGACCGGAAAACCATTGTACAGCAAAACTCACATGGTAGAATCCAGGGCAAACTATTTAAAGGTGGAATATACGAGTTAGCCATATATAAACAAGCAAGCAAATCTGAGTAAAAAATGTTGCAGCTTTGTTTGATGTTGACGTTATTTGAATGATACCGAGAGGTGGAACAGCCATACATACCATGAAAACGCAAATGGCCAGCCCAAGAATAATGGTAACCAGTCGTCCCGTGGACAATGGTGGTGGCTTTAGTCCATCTTGGTCCGCTTGGACAGAAGACGCAGAGAGCTTTTCCACATCCAACGGCTCAAGATCATTCTCAGTGTGGATTTTTTCCATCTTGTAAAGCTCGATATGTGTTCTTTCGTAGCGGAGATAGTGGCCTTATCTGACAGGGAAAGCATCGTCAGTGGAATGTGGGTTGGCACGAAGAACATGACATAAAGTGGCCATAAAAGGGCATTCACGCAGCCGACTACTTACCGGTTGTTTCAATTAATGTTCGAATTGCCTTTGATTCCTCCTTGTTGGTGAGATCTGAAAGACGAAACCAAATCCCGCATCCAACATGTTCGCGGATATGAAAATTCTGCAACCGCACGAGAAGAAAACATGAGTCAGCAAAATCGCAAAATCAACTCCCGCGTAGCTGACAAAATTCCTGTATTTTAATATGATTCCCATGCATTTAATTTATACAGCAGGACTCTGCCTTTATCGTTCCCCATTGCCGCAAATCCGCCTTTGGGAGAGAAGTCTACCGAGTTTATATAACTGAGTGGTGTTGCAGCTGTAGGCCAATTAGGGAATACTTTCAAGCTAGGCAGATGAGCTAATCTCAATGCGTCCTTCTTAGCACGAGATGCAAAGAGTAGAGCTCCATTTGATGGATGGAATTGCAAACTGTGTATGGATGTAGTCAAGTTGGGTAACGTTTTGATGGCAACTACAGACCCGTTGGTAGTAGATGAGAAGGTAGCAGCTGTATCATATATGTTGACTATACCAGACCTGGATCCTGTAGCGAGATGCTGTCCGTTGGGAGACAAGGCGATCGTTGTGGTTTTGAAGGTGCTGATATCTTTTACTTTATATATACATTGTCGAGATCGTGTTTCGAATTGGTAGATTTCATCGTCACTGCCTACTGAATATATCATTTCACCATCTGATGAAAAGCAAAGTGACTTTACGGTTCCATTCATTCGTAGATTGGCAATCCATTGTTTTGTGTCTCTGGATACTAGGATGATGTAGCCTGCGTCTCCGATAAAGGCGATATAGCGATTACATGGAGACACTACAAACTTTTCAAAGCTCTTTTCCGTCCTCCCTAACAAAGTACAAGGTATAAGTTCAACCACACCTGTCATGTCACCTATGTCATCACACATACCCCGAATACCAAAGACTTTCTGAACATCACCACGATCCATATCATACGTATAGAAATGTTTTCTTCCACCCACCAACACCACTTGCTTTCCATCAGCAGTGAAGGACGCTTGGTGTATCGGCATATCCTTAAACCAGACAGACTGTATCTTTGGATTGACTTTTCCATCAATCCTAAACAGTCGTAGTGTCTTATCAAATCCAGCAGTCAACATGACTGGTGTCTTGGGATGGAATTGCACTGATTGGATCACGCACTACCATAAAGACAGGAATTTAGGCAAAACACGCGATCAAAGAACAAACACCATAACAATTACCTGTGAAAACGCCATTTGGTTACCGTCCTTGAGCCTGGTAACACTTATAGCATCTGGCGACAAGTTTACACCTGTTGATTTTTCAGTTATGGTACCGCTTGTTTTCAGAAACATGGGTTCATCATCATCATCATTGTCAGTAGCAATTACACCGTCAGCCCACCGAGGGCGAGGATTGATCTTTTCAAACCTACATTCAGCAAAAAAGAATCAGTTTGGAGACCTGGTTGCATCGTCCTCGATACACAAATGTAAACTTACTGCGTTCGTAAGCGAGCCTCGTATTCAGCACTAGAGACTACATTCTCAGACTCTGTTTTCCTCAACTTTCGCAAACGAGATTTGTTTGAGATCTCCACAAAAAGATCATCATCGTCCTCCCAAGCTGGTTTTTGTTGAGGCAGCTCGGCAGTCTTTGATGAGGTTGATAGTACATTGATGTCCTGTGACGTTGAATCGATTCGAGTTGAATTCTCTTGTCCTTCTGTTAAAGCATTGGGTGTTAAAGTTGACGACCAGTTTTTTTTTTGCAAACCAAGATACTTGGAAAAAAAAAGTTTACCAAGAGCTGGATTGACGCTAGAGCCCTTAGTATCAATAGTAAAGAGAAGCTAAAATAGACCATAGTATTAGTTAAAAAGCAATCTACCGAGGAGCTATCTGAAACCAACACTTGCCTCATCGTCATCGTCATCGTTCAAATGTCGAGATGTATCCTCCTTCAATCTATGACTTGTAAGTGAGTCGTCTAGCTCTTTACCAGCCTTGGACAGGAGCGTATCCAATCTGCCTGGCTGCTCTCCTCCAAACAACAACGCTTCGAGTGCTAGTTCCTCATTGTCAGGTTCTGGATGTGAGACTTCTGGATTGTCTATTGTCGCTATTGATGCTGGTGTTTTCTTCCTCTTGCGCTTCCTGGAAAGCTCTGGATTTGGCGGTGGCAATGCGTACGATGTCATGGCTGGCCTGAATGTGATCTGGTTGTGAGATGGATGTTTGGTAGGGTGTGATTTCCTTTTGGCAAGCTGAAGGCGGATACGAAGCTATGGATCGCGAAGCAAATTTTTCGCATCATTAGGAGCTATGTGATGCGTCCAGATTTATGAACCTGTCGGGTGGTTTCTCTTTCAAACAAGTCTCACGGCCGCTACTAGCGTTGGTGTCTTTTCCGGTCAATGCATGTTCGCGGTGTTTATACTATGGAGTTGCTGGCCGAAATATCTCGGAATTCTCTACACTGCAGGGGTGTCTTTATTCTACAACGTGTCAGTTCTATTGTAGGCGATTTAAAACTTAACCCACTGGAAATTCATACTGCTTAGCGAGAGAGTGGTGCTCTCCGGCTGCTGGTGATCGTACTGCCTCCTTGGACTTTGGGCTTTAGGTTTCCTTGTGTTTGAGGTTATATACTCACAAACCAATCTTGTCGCTGTGCATCTAAGAAAATGTCACGAATCGAGTATTTCTGTGTTATGACTGGTTTGAGATCCTTGACGGATGACGAATTCAAATGCTACTGCGTGCTCCAAGAAACTTACGACCAATACGGCAGGACTCCGGTACATCTACGAGAAGACAGTGCTCGGTCAGACAACTGACTTTATTATAACAATGGCATCCCATTTCACAGCTGCAGATTTTACAGCTCGAATTACCTCAGCTTCCTCGACCGACAACCAGTACATGCCTTTGAGACACGATTCCTAAACTAAACATAAGGATTTAGACCATTGTAAGTGCCTGCATCCAAAACAACCAACAACAGCTTACATTTCAGGTTCCAGCGATTCCAAGACGGTTCGAGTCGGAGCAGGTCGGTGTGGTAGTGGTAGTGCGACCGGCACACTCTGACGCTACAGTGATCGAGGTGGAGAATACGGTCCGCATGGTGGATTGGACGATTGATAATAGACTGCAGACCTTCTGGTTTGAGAATGCATCTGAAATACATTATTTGTGTCGAGAGTCAACCTGGGATATAGATATGGTGCCGGTGGTGGTAGCGCATACCCATTCGCGGTTGGAGGCGTCTAAGATGTTCACAGTGTAGTGATAGAGTACTAGGAAATACGTCTTGCTGTATATGATGTTCTGAGCCTCTTGCAGCCAGGAGCAGTAGTGTCTGTTCGTTGTAGGGTTGATAAACCGTTGATACATTGTTCAGACTCCCAGCCTGATGTATTAGCGTATCGTTACGGATATATTGGTGGAGTTTGAGGGTGTATCAATACTTGTGGTGGTGTATAATGATTTTCAGATGTAGCGAGTGGCGGTGCCCTGCATATGTTTGATGGTGGTAATATCAGTAATGCTCGTCTTATGACATCTGCTGGTGGGCTATAGATTGCTGTCGAGTGCAGCGACGTTTCCGTAGTCGACCCATAATCCACTCTAGCAGTCCATCTAGTTGATGACGGGTGCCAGGTATTTCATCCAGATGCGGGTTTAACAAATCCGTGCCAACCAATGATCATAATTATCGCAACTTTCGTCAATGGCAACTTTTTCCAATCCTAACATATATTACTTGTAAACTCAATAGTGTGACTTCCGGAGTATCGACATCACCCCCAGAGGTTTGCAATCAATGTTGTAATATTGTAATCTAAATTACGAAATTACGCACCGAGTCTGATTTCGGACAAGGTACGAGTTAGCCGTCAATCAACAATGTATCTGTACTGTCAAAACAATTCCTAACGATCTCAAACCTCGTTTAGATTGTACTTGGTAATCTGTGACTTGCTAATGATATAAAATATAAATGGATACTGCGAAAGTACAGAGGCCAATGCAAGAACCCTCTGAAGGACGTGCTACTCGGAAACCTCGCCCAAGCACAAGAGCTATTGATATTCCAGTCAAAGATGTCCCCACGTATCTATTGAGTCAAATGTTGTCCGCACCTGCACAATCTACGTCACCAAGATACGAACAAATGGACACTCAACACTCACCACTCCTAATCCACTTCGTAAATATCTGAAAACCATGGGTATCTTGTATATCCCACATCGAGGAGTGTATCGGTCTGGAACAACGACCACAACCCGTCTCAAAATAATGAATAGTACTCAAACAATCGACCGTAACAGTAACTAAAAGTATACAATATGGAATGTGTATTTTAGAAGTCTGAAAAATGCCAGATTTGCGCTGCTTCGATTGGCGGAGTTAGTTTTTGCCATCAAGATCGTTTGATCTTGTTTGCACATAGGAACCGTTTGAAGTACCACGTAGCGAGCTAGCAGGCCATCGAAAACGTGACAACACTTACATTCTGTTCAGAATGAATGGACTATGGTACATTGCACTATCAAATGAGCTTTCGTCAGCTAACTGTACGCAGTTGCGGCAATTTGAGTTTTCCAACAAAGCAACCAGATACACCACCAGCTTGTCTTCCCATTGTCGGCACCCAGAGAACATCAATTTTTTCCCTCTGTGTATTTGCGTCGTTCTTGTATACCTTTATTAATCGCTCAAAACCTGAAATCGTGTTTGCTTGACGGCAGCTCAGAATTCTTAAACCGCGTACAATAACCAATAACACCAACTAATAAATATGCATATGTTTGGCCCTTCAACTAAATGTCTCCAAAATCCTGTCTACGTCTGGCCTATTTTGCGTTTTTCTACATCAGGTTGAAATCAACAAATCAGCTGGAGCTTTTGTGGTGGCATCGTCAACAATTACTGGGAGGCGTGCGTCTCGTTGGGACGCTGATATCTGTGGTGGTCCGTGCTCCATAGAGGCTGATCGTGTGTACTGGATTGGTCGTGGTTCCACGGTGCTTCTCTGCGTGTCTGATTTGTTTTGACCTTGCGGTCGCTGGGTGGAGTTTCTACTCAGAACGCTGGCTGTTGTAACAAACCACAATGATACGGCGTTTATAACTGTGTCCAAGCAGCACAATGTGACGCACATAGCACCAGGCTGATGTTGAAGGACGAGCTATTGAGATGGAGCTGTCAGACTCAAGATCACCTTGCCCGCAAAGGCGGGAAGAAAACCTTACCATCTCAAGACAATTGACAAAAGTGACAACGAGAGAGAGAGATGAACCCACAATGGTCCGTTTTGCTATGATTCTGTAGTTGGCATTTGATTGAGCATTGGCGGAGAAGTTCTTAAACCCAAAGAGGACAGCCAAAAAATATGTGGTTGTGTACACAGAATCTAAAGTCAAAGCAAAAATGCATTTTTTAGCGTTTGATATTTAGTAGCTTGGAGGTTGTTAGTCTCAGTGACTTACAGCAAAAGTCGAAGGTAGTTAGAGGAATAAGGAAGCCAAACCCGTAAAAGATTCTTAAGGAGGAAAGAATGACAATTCAGAAGTAGGAACAGTTTGGCTTCTCAAACACTGTACGTACATGCAATCACCAACAGCCAATAACGGACTGTTAGGGTCGGTATTGTAACTGTGGCCAGCCCACACGAAACCTGTTTGTAAAAAAGCACGTCAGTCTAGACCAAAAGTTTGGCTTCAATTGATCTCCACCTGCAACTGCAATAGCAGCAAATGGCGACAGCAACACCATGTTCATCTTCCAAATTGGATCTTGGAATCGAGGTTTAGTGCTCGTCACTACGCGGAGCTTTTCCAAAAGGAAGAGATACATTGCTAGCTTGGAGCCAGCTGCGTGGGGTAGAAAACGGGGAATTGAGAAGTCGAGCTCGAGCCTCCAAAAAACATCTCATTCATAATTAATACCGTATGCAATCACTATAAATGGAAGAGCAAATCAGACTGATGTAATGTATGAAACATGACCAAGAACGCGATCCACGAAACACGCGTCGTCAAGGACGCAATCCATAGAACATGATTAAGTCCAGTACCACTCACCACAGAAAATATGTATTCCTGCACAGCCCCAGTCTGGGATATTGAGAGGACTCAGGTTAGGTACAAGGCTATAGAAAACATACATCAAGTCATACCGTTTAGAGTACTGTTCAGCACTAGGAATTCACTGCCTATGGCAAAACACACCGCCAGCAAAAGCTGAGACAATCTTAGAATCCTCGGATAGTCAAGAGGAAAAAATAATCTGCACGATGATAAAAGACGTGGTTAGAATTGTGAAGCATTCATTTCGAAGGTGGGTTGATTTTGACATACCTCCAGCTCATCGTAAAAACAACTGATAGTACAATGATAGCGAGCATAAATACAGCCATGGCCACATTCTCGAGCACAGTAAGATTCGCCATATTTGTGGTTGGCAAAATTCAAAATTCAAAAATCTTAAATCACAGCAGCAGACCGCGCGAATGGGCTGGAGATTGTCCGTCGTGCCAAATGAGAGAAGCTTCTTGCTTTAGAAAAGGTTGAAGTAGCTTCTTGTGGTGCGCTGGTTAACCTAATGTCCACAGGAGTCCTCCGAAACCCCAAATTCCCCAGTGTGATTCGATGATGGTGGGGGCCAAAGCATTCTAGCGAATCGGGGATTTGTGAGAATGGCCTTTGAGAGGGACTGGCTACAGAACCTCCACTGACTCCATGTTGGTGTCTGAAATCTGAAATTTTCAACAAAACACAATTTGGAATTGTCTGCTAGCCTCATGCCACGTCCATCGCAGAAAAGCACGATAAAAGGTCTCCTGGACTACCACGACAAGCTTTGGTGGTGAAATGTAGATCAAAGATGTACACGTAAAATGGTGCACAACTCTGCGTCCGCAACAAAGATAACTCCCTCCACTTTGGAGCAAAGAAGTAAACTGTTTTTCTAAAGTCTCAGATAAACTGACACGATGCTTATCAAGTTTAAATTACGTGTTACCGCTCTCTTCGGACTTTTCTTGGCTCTACAGCAGCAATCCTCTGCTCAACAGCTCCAATTACTAACAATCTCGAAAATTGGGTTTTCTACTTGCTACAGTATGTATCTACATTGACTTAATAATATGTAATTCATTCTTTATTCAAACATTGTGGTTGTCAATGTTGTG